AATGATATGTAAATATCACAGGGTATTCCCCCCTATATAAATATTAGATGCTAATAATAAAAAAAATTTAAAAATTAGTTCCAAGTTTTAGTTTTGCTCAGGCCCTGATAACTTACATGTACTCTGCCTCTTGGAGAATCTAGGAAATACAGCTTCTACTTTCTGCCTCTGCAGGGCAGGAATACAAACTAGAAGAGTGAGCACTGGGTCTCCAGTTGAAGCTCAGGCTTGACTATTTTATAAAACTCCATGTGCATTTATTATGAATTGGCAGAGTTTGAAAACACTGCACCCAAATGATGTTGCATCAGAGAATTAAGACCTGTGTGCACCCTCAGTGTTAGTAATGTGCTGTGATTTGTTGTTTGTTACAGTACTGCAGTAATTGTCTAGAGCAGGAAAACAAATCACTCACTTTTTGTCAAAAAATTTACCATGCAATGTAATTGTTCAAAAAAGTGATAGATTGGAGATGTAAAATACCATAATTATTCTTCAAAAGGTAAGCTGTCCAACTGAGAAAAGCCAAGAGAAGTGTTCTTAAGTAGGAGCAGAGCCCATAATGGAAAAGTTTACCAGCTCTGTCTCATACACCATCTCACACATAGCAGGAAAGGCCTAGTCCATCAGGGATGACTCTGGGAAATGATGAAATGATACTTATCACAGCATCATGTTCCACAAACTCCAGGCTTTGCAGCCCAGAGGAACTCTGTGGTTTCTCACAACTAACTAAGACACATAAACCAAGAATGCCATTGATTTCATGAAGAAGAAAAACCTAAATTAACTGCAGATGGAGCATTCTGTGGACTGCCAGCAGTTTCCACTAGAGAAAAACCACTAGAGTGGTTTCTGTACTGAGTCTGAAGATTGTCTATAAACTGGAGATCTTGGAAAATAAACTGTTCAGAAACAAATTCTAGAGAAGGCCATTTATATTCACAGGAATGATGTGTGCTGAAAATTACATGTGCACAAATAAACATTTTGGTTATAAAAAGTGTCAATTTTTTAAAGCTACCTTTTTGCAGGGTATTGAGATGATCATGTTACTTTTTCCCTTTATTCTGCTAATTATATGATTGATTTAAGACTTGAAACCAACTAGAATATTGAGCTTATTCCTCACTTGGTTATGATGCTTTCATCTTGTTCTATATTGTAGATTCTATTGACTAACATGGTTCTCAAGATCTTAGTGTCCAGGCTCATGGTAAAGATTGGCCTTCATTTCTCTTTTTTTGTAACCAACTTGTCAGGTTTGTTGTCAAGGTTATATTGGTCTAGCAAGAGTTAAGAGATATTCCTTCTTATTCTATTCTCTGGAAAAGTAAATGCAAAATTTAGCATTTTGCCTCCCTTAAATATTTGGAAGAATTTACTAGAGTGAAGCTACCTGGGACTGAAGATTTCTTTTAGTGAGGGTTTTAAATTAGGGATTAAATTTTTTTAGTAAATATAAAAATATTGAGTTTTTTGTTTCTTCTTGTGTATGTTTTGGTAAGTTAAGAATTCCTACTTTACCATTTTACAGTATACAGTTCAATAAATTTTAGTATGTGCATAGTGCAGTCTTGTGCCAGAATATTTTCATCACCCCAAAAGGAAACTCATAATCTTTAAGTTGTCACTCCCAATTTTCCTCTCTCCAGCCCCTTGTAATACCGTCTCTGTTGATTTGCTCATTCTAGCTATTTCATGTAAATGGAATCCTAGAATATGTTGCTTTTTGCATCTGGATTTTTTCATTTATCATAATGATTTCAAGATGAATCCATGTTGTGACATGAACTAGAATTTTATACTTTTTATGACTGAATAACGTTCCGTACAATGGCGTTCTATTCTATTCATTGGCTGCTGGTGTTATCGTTATTATTGCCATCCTCCTGCTTTCTTTGTATTTTCTTGCTTTTTTTTTTTGAGATATCAACTTAGATAACTTAAGTGATGTGATATAGTTAAATTACTTTTGCTTTACATAATTTGAGGGTCTATGCTAGGTGCATATATTTTACACCAAGTCTTGACATAAAAACTTGGAACTCCTACACTTTTTGACCGGATGACTTTATGTAAAATGAGGATAATAACTCTGGTCCTATCTTTACTAGGATGTGGAAGATGTAAGGTAAAAGCACTTTATAAACTAACTTCTGGATGTTGGCAGAACTTTATGTTTTTCATTTGAGTTGCTTTATTTCTCACAAGTTGATTTCACAAATATTTTCTTTTGTTTCATAAAATAAACCCACAGGAATTATCTCCATTTTATAGTTGTGATTTTTAGTACTATAGAATTTCAGGAAATGGCCATGAATTCAATATTTAAAGTTCAATTTTTAATAGACTATTATTTAAATAATATTCTATATTTACTATAGCTACTAAGTTCTACTTTTACTATAGTTAACATGCAGAATGGTATTATTGACTCTTAGGACATTAGAATTTCAGTTTCAGACACTTGATAACATTGCAACTACTGTCAACATCCACTGTAGACAATACTATCTGGAGCCAGCAAATCAGCCCTTCTGCCTTCATATAGAATTCCATTTGGCACGTTTGGCCCTGGCTGTCTACCTACTCACTGACAGTTTTGCTGACTACTCAATGAATTAGGTTTCTTGTGCAAAAATTAAAGAATCAGTACATGTGCTTTTTACTAAAATATATCTGGGGACTAACATTTGAATATATACAAATAAATACTTAGCACATATGGACTGAGAAAGGAAAGTAAATAAGGATAAAAAGAAATAAGGGAGATATTATAAAAGTGAAGATGATATGTTTTTAAAAAATATTGGGTTATGAGCTGGCAGAGTGGCTGAAGTGGTAAAGTGCCTGCCTAGCAAGTGTGAGGCCATGAGTTCAAAGACCAATACCACCAAAAAATAATTGGGTTATAAATTTGTGGTGATAAAAAGAAATGCTAAGTTTAAAACATCTCCACAATTTCCCATACATTTAAAATTTTCATATTCCATGAACTCATACTCTTGTTTGCACATTTTAACTCCTCTGAAATAGGCCAAAGTGGCACCTTTCCTCCAAAGGAGCACGTAAGAGTTGGTAACGTCAAGAATGGGAAAAAGAAAAGTTATGAAGAAACAGTGTTTCAGACAAATGAACAAGTGAGAACTAAAGCCCAGAGTAAGAGTTCCAGAGAGAGCAGACCATTTCAGAATAATAGGCAGCATCCTGGATATCACTCATTATTCAAGAATTTTCACTTTTCTTCTGGACAAAGACTCCTAATGGCTGACCTGGTCAGTCATGAGATGGGCTTCAGGGTTTGGTGTGGGAAATCCCCCACTGGAGTAGGAGTGTTGTGTGTATGTATGGACCCAGGAGTGGGGTAACTGCATTCTTCAGAGTCTCAGAGTTAGCTGGGAACCTTCAGAAAAAGCTAAAAATTACTGCTATAAGGTCTCATAGAGAAGCACTAATAAATTGGAAAGGAGATTCATATGTTGTATAATTTCTGGGTGACTTATACAATGGCGTTGTGCTTTGAATAAGATCCAAGTGACTTACAGGGGGCTCAAAAAACTGAACTCTCAAAGAATCAATGAAGAAAGGGACAATGAACTGAATAGAATTTTTTCAAAGGAAGGATTCCAAATGGCCAAAAACACATGAAGAAATGCCCAACATCCTCGGCCATAAAAGAAATGCAAGCCAAAAGTGGCTCAAGGAGTAAGAACACTTTCTTAGCAAGCATGAAGCCTGAGTTCAAACCCCAATGCCACTGGAAAAAAAAAAAACCCAACAACACATTAAAATTCCATCTCACTCTTGTCAGAATGGCTATCATCAAGAACAAAAACAACAAATGTTGGTGAGGATGTTAGGGGCGTGAGAAGGAGCTCTTTACACTACTGGTGGGAATATAAATTAGTACAACCCTATGGAAAGCAGTTCCACAAAAAACTAAAAATAGGATCCAGCAATACCATTCCTAGGCATATATCCAAAGGAATCTAAATCAGGAAACAATAAAAACACATGAACGCCCATGTTTATTGCAGTATTATTCACAATAGCAAAGCTATGGAAATAGCCCAGAAGCTCCACAATTGATGAATACATACATACATGGAATATTATTCAGCCATAAAGAAGAACGAAGTTTTGTCATTTGCAGGCAAATGGATGGAACTGGAGAACATCATGTTAAGTGAAGTAAGTCAGGTTGAGAAAGACAAAAGTCACATGTTTTCTGTCATATGTGGAAGGTAGATACAAATATAAGCATTGTCACATATAGGTATATATACAGAACATGTTTCCAATGGTGGGACTTTAGAAGTGCTATTTAAGCTAAGACCTCAATAAAAAGAAAAAGAAATGCAAGGGACAAACAGGGAAAAATTGAGAGGAGAGTCAGAGTGTTCTTGCCAAAGAGCAGCAGAGGTGACATCAGTAAAGTGCAATAAGCTCGGCCTGTGCACAGAATGGCAATAAAGCTGATGTTGCAACATTGTGCTAAGTGAATGATAAGAAATTAGGTCAGGTCGTTAAGTATAGGTCATGTCTTAAAGGGACCTTTTAGGCTGTGATAAGAAAGAAAAATGTGAAGCCACGGGAGGGAGAAATTTAAGCAGAGAAATGATATAATCTGATTTACATTTTTAAAAGATTACTGGGACTAGGCTGAGGAGAAGGGAGTGGGTATAATAAAAGATTAGGAAAAGAACAATACAGGGGTTGTTCTAGCTTGGAGACCATGGCTGCCTGGGCCACAGGGATGGCAGTGGTAATGAAGAGTGTGGGGATGATAAGAGATATATTTCAGAGTTGTGGTGGTTTTCAGGATATGGGCACAAGTTCTTCCATATGCTTCCTCTTATGAGGAGGAGTTTTATTTTTGTCTTTCTGAAAGTGTACTGGAGTTAGTACTTACTTCTAGAAAACAGAATTTGGGGGGACATGACTAGTTGGGACAGGGGATCAAAGGTTCTGTTTTACATATAGTTTCAGGAGGCCATTAGATATACCCGTGGCAATGTCAACCAGGCATCTTGCTAAGCCCTCCAAACTTCCTCAACTATTGTTTCTGAGCACAAGAAAATGACTTGGGGAGGAATATCTCCAGTTGTCCATTCTCTTTTTAGGGCATTCTAATATGGCTTGCGTTCCTTTTACTCGATTACAGGATTTTCTCGAAGTAAATCATCCATTACATCTATGCTATCAAATTCAGTGGTTTCTTCTCTGTCTGAATTGCACTTAGCTCATAATCACCTTAGACATAGGACACCACTCCCTTTTCTCAAACACTGTCTTCTCTTGGATTCTGTGATCCTGCTGTCTCAAGTAGATCCTTCTGCTCTGCATGGTGTCAGCCAGGGAGCCTAAGTGCTATCCAGTTGATGAGTGGTCTGGTCTGCATGGTTCAAGAAGGCTTCATTCATGTCTGCTTCCTTGATGGAGAAAGCTAGAAGGCTGACCTTAGCTGGTTACTTTCCCCTTCATGAATTCTCAGCCTCTCACTTGGACACTTAGCTGGTGGTCAGCTATATTACAGAGGGAAGTCCAAGATTTAAAAGTAAGTATTCCAGGAAGAACAGAGATATGGAGCAGTGGTTAGAATGTGAGATCAAGAGGGTTTCCCCAAAAAACTATGAGTAATCACTAAAGCATACTGGTATCTGATGGGAATGGTCCAGAAAAGAGGAAGAAATGGATGTTGCAGAAAACAGAAGGTATAACAAGGACCAAAAGACTTAAGGAGGAAAGGGCCACAGAAGGAGTCGGGTGGAGTGACATATATTGAAGCAGGAAACACTCATTCACAGAGTAACTGGAGAGGAGCGACATGGGTGTGCACAGGCTCCTGCTTCAGTTTGCTGGGTCCTCTCATCAGTGAGGGCTTTCTGACTGCCCCAGGCTTAACTGTCACATATAGCACTCCCTGTCTCTCTTTCCTGCTTCAGCTTTCTCCATAGTATATATGCACATCTATAGAACATATATGTAACACCCATGGCATTACACACACCATAGTGATAGGGTTGGCTGATGCCTTTATTAACTACCTCCACTGGAATATAAGGAAGACTCCTGTCTCTCACATAGCTGATACTTAATAAACATTAGCCAACCAAGGGAATAAATGAACAGGGGAGTGGTATACCTAAGTGAACTGTAAGGTAAAAAATGGCCCTGAGATGTTTGAAATCCAGATGATAGAAGATGACATGGTGTCCTAGTGAGGACAGTTGCATCTTGGGTGTTTCAACCACAGCTCTCTTCCGTGCCTCTCTTGGCTGAGTCATCATGATCTGGTTATTGAAACCCTATGAACCCAGGATTAGGCAAGCCCTTTTTGGCACACACTCAGCAGATTGGCTCTCCTTTCCCACAGTTCTGTATTTCCTTCTACCTGTTTGATCTCCTCTTCTTGACTGGTCTAGGCACCTGTTTGATTATCTCTCTTTAAAGCCTGAGAGTGCAAAAAGAGGTGCCAGGCTATCTGTGCACAGCTCTGGGCGGTGGCCCTTGATGACCAGTGGTGGAGCTCTTGTCCAGACTGACCTGACCCAAGCTAACTCTCAGCCAGTCTTGGGGCTGTTGGAGCTGATCTGCTGCAGACAGGAAGAGGTTCCCAGCCATCGCTGCCAGCTATGGAGAAGTTGACGGTGCTGACTCTCGTGGGACTGGCACTAGCAATCTTCATCAGTCACAGGTCTTCCAACCAGTAAGTTGGGTTGGGGTGAGGGTTGCAGTGCAGCCCTGATCCTCCTCACTCTTGCTAAAGCCAGGAGCACCTTCACTCCCAAAGCAGGGTCCAGGCTCTTCACAGAAAATATACATGCCTGTGCTTGGGTATACACCTCACAGGAGCTTCACAAATGTCCACCTTTCATGTACCACTCGGAAATATGCACTTGTGGTGGTCTGCCAGAGGGGGAAGTCATTTGTCAGCCATGCTAGTGGCCATACAGTAAGGGTACACAAACTAACCTGTCAGGAAGATGTGTGTGCTTTGACTGCAGATTCACTTCTCAAACTGGCTAACAAACCACCTCACCCCCCCACCTCCCCACCCCGCTGCTCCCCCCAGCCCCTCCCTGCCACATACAAATAGCAGCCCAGAGCAAGGGGGCTGATTGTTTTTGTAAATTAGGGAAAGGAGACCCCCAGACTTAGCTCCCTGCACTGGCACAACCTTCCTGGCTTGGAGAATCTGTTTGAGGACCCTCCAGATTAGGCTGAGTCATCATGACCAAGTCATGGAATCCCGACAAGCAGACAGAATACCTACCTGTGGACCAGAGCAAGTAGGAACAAATGTTCCCTCAGGTGGCTACGGGCTTCAGTGAGTGCCGGGCAGAGAGGAAGGACCCTTGTGCTGGCACCTGGGTTTTAGCTTTCTCTTGAGTGTGGGATCTTGGGCAAATCACTTTGCATTTCTAACCTTCGCTGCTTCAGTAAACTGGAAATGGAAATGCATACTCATATAGGAAGCAACTAATACCAGGCTTACGATAAAGTAAAAAGTCAGTAAATGTTAGTTCCCTGTTCCCCACTAGAGTGATACAGGGGTCCTGTGGGGGAGAGTAAGGGATGAATTTAAAATGTATCAGACTTTTCATGATAACTTTTATAGCAGATCAAAGTCTAGAGACAAAAGTCTAGTCTAAAAGCCTTACTCAATAATATTAATTTTTTACTCTGAAGTAAAATATTAATAAAACAGATCATTGGGATTTAAAAAATTTATGTGATCATATGGGTTACTTAGAAGCTTACATTCAGACTAGGTTTTTACAAATAATTGTGTTTTTTCTTCAAATTATTATTATTTTTTTTTCAGTACTGGTGCTTGAACTCAGGGCTTTGCACTTGCTAGGCAGGCCTCTGGAGCCATGCCTCCCCCATCAAGTTGTTATTTTTGAAATCATAAAATACCAGAAAAGTATTAGAAAAACACAATTATCAATTTAGACTTTTAAATGATGGGAAAAATTAGTTTGTAAGTTTCATTAATCATAAAATTGTTTGGTGCTATAGTAGATAGATAGATAGATAGATAGATAGATAGATAGATAGATAGATAGATGGATAGATAGATAGATGGATGGATGGGTGGATAGATAGATAGATAGATGGATAGATAGATGGACGGATAGATGGATAGAGAATAAGTGCAGAGCTTCCTGGAATAGCTCAGACAGGGCAATGGAAGGAAATTGCACCCACTACCCAGAAGCTGTTGAGCCTTACTACTCAAAGGGGTCTGTGGCCTGGCTATGAGTGGTACCTAGGAGCTCTCTGCATGTACAGCATCTCAGGTCCCACATTCTATTGAATCGATCATTACTGAACAAGTTCCTCTGGGAATTTGTATGCTGCTCTGTAAGGGACGTCCACATCTTGCACTCAGCCATATTTGAACCAGAGCAAGAGATTCTACAGGCTCAATCAATGACCTTTATCCCCATCTTGGCACTAAGACACCACAATCTCAGGAAGATCATGAATCTGCCCACAGGAGGAAAGGAAAGCAACGATGTCTGGTGGCATGCCTCAGCGGCAAGCCAAACCCCCAGAGAAGAAACAGAGATATGTGTGTGCATGGGGTCAGGTTTACAGGAAGTTATATGGGCTCATGCTGGGGGGAGTCTTGCAGAAGCATACAAGGGGTGCCTTCAGGGATTTCCTGAGCTTCTGATATGGGTGCAGCATAGAGGAACAAACTGAGAAAGCTTTGGTCCCTCATTGTAGTCAGTTGCATACAGCCTTGCACATACGTACTGCACAAGCCCAGGAATGCCTAGGACAATAAAAACAGTGTCAGCTGCACATTTGGAATGTGGGGGCCCTGCAGGTCCCCCCATCATAATGGGTGAGACTGCTAGGGATTTTTGGTGCCTCAGTTTGGTAACAGTATTTCCCAAGAAAAGTAAGTTCATTAGGACACAGAGCAGCAGCAGACAGCTGAGCACAGGGAATTGCTGCTACTGCTGCTTCAATGTGAGTGTGGGGCAGGTTTATTTATGCAGAGCAAAGCAAAAGCCAGCAAAAGTGCACCTCAGTAGGAGGGTGGGTGGACAGACTCAAGAGGGACCACTGTACTGGGGGTTCCAAGACCTCAAGCTTTCACTGAGGTCTGCAGAGATAAGCATGGTCAGTCCTGGCAAACTGGCTAATGTGTCATTAACTCTCAGAGACTTGTCAGGCAGGGGGCGGTTTTTGGTCCTGGATGGTCAGATTGGGGCTGTTATTTTCTGTGGGCTTCAGGGGCTGCAGGCCAGCAAGATCCTTCTGTATGTTACAAGCTATTCCGTTAAAGTCAGCAGTCTAGGATGTGATTCTTGGTTTCCTAACTCCCTGCTTAGTCCACATCAGAGACAATTGTTTCCCTTCTTTAGAAGGAAGCTGCAAAGCTAGCTTTAGTCTCTCAATGGATTTTTGTCACCTCATGCTCATCTAGGTAGCATACCTAAATGAAACTGGTGGTAAATTCCTGACTACCTGGTTTCTGCAACTTTCAAGTCATTTCATCACTTTACTCCAAGAAAAGTTCCAGCTTGTTTCTCCAACTGAAAATTATGGGATAATAGCACAGATTACAGTAGGATATATATAAAAACAGGCATATAATAGGTGCTCCACAATCATTAGCTTTTATAATTGCCATATGTGATCTCAAAATTCCACTTAAGTATTCTAATGAATGATACTTGATGTGCTAAGACTTTTCATCACTGTGACAAACACTTGCAGGAAACAACTTGGAGGAGGAAAGATTTATTTTGGTTCATGGTTTCAGTCCATGGCTGGCTGGCTCCATTGCCAGACATCATGGAGATGTAAATATGATAGAGGAGGTTGCTCACATCATGGTGAGCAAGCAGAAAGGCAACCAGAGGAAAAGTCAGGGACTAACATGCTCCCTCCCACCCCTCCCCACACCACCCTCAGGAGGTGGTGATCCAATTCCTCAGCCTCACCTTCCAGTTTCTACTTCTTTCCAATAATCTATTAAATTATTAATCCATCAGTGGATTGATCCACTGACTAGATCAGCAACCACCCAATGATCCAGTCACTTGCCCAAAACCCCACCTTTGAACATTGCACTGGACACCAAGTCTTCCACACATGAACCTCTCATGAGACACTTCATATATGTATACAAACCAGAGCACTTGCATATCATCATGACTCATCAAAACCCTAGGCTAAGGACAAATAACTCTCTAGCCCTCCAGTCTTCTCTATCAATACACTCATTCCATCTTCTCATTCTGATGCACTAGCCTAGTAATACCACAAAACAATTCAGCAGTGATCTGCCAAGTCTCCACCTCTGAAAGTGCTGTGTTCATGCTGGAAGCTGTAGGGATTACTAGGATGTATTCACTCACCAATCTCAGAGTTTATAGACAGCAACAAGAGCCCAAAGTGATAACCTTAAAACAATATGGCAAGGAACTTGATGGATGTGTATGAGAAGATAATAAGGATGAACAAAGGAGTGAGTACTCACACCACAGAAGATCTGGAAAGCTGGGAAGGTCTCCTTATCAGTTGGGTAAGGTGGCAAAGGCATTTGAAGTAGAGGGAACAGCATAGGCAAATAGAAAGGGTTATCAAGAGCGCTAGGTATTGTGACACCTAATTTCACATTCCAACTCTACCCTTTTAAATTATTAACCACATATAAATGATTTGGCTTCTCTGTGTGTCCTCTATAAAACAAGGTAAATATGAATCTTTGTTTCGAATGTAGGTAAGGAGATTAAATGTGGAAGTATGTGTGAGAACCCTTGACACAGGGATTGGCACACAGGAGGCCTCAGAAAGGAATAGTGAATGAATGACAATCGTGTAGCAGCGGAAAAATGACTGGGTCCCAGAGTTCCAGGTTGGGTCTCTGAATATTTAGCTGACCCTTCACTTCCTTTGGCAGGGAGTCAGCAAGTATTCACACAGAACAGTTCGTAGCAAAGGTTGTGTGATTTCCGGAAAGAGTTCAGAACCTTGTTAATTAGAGACATATCTTAGACATTGAACCTCATATCTTAGATCTGAAATATTTGAACACACGTAATCCCTTGATAAGATATTTTCTGATAATTTGTAACTAGGTTAGAGAAATATGAACTTGACATAGTAACAGAAGCGGGGTATCTTCAAGTGCTTCTTCCAGCTTCTCAGCAGTGTTACGTGTAAATTTTGCATTGGTAGAGGGTTGAATGTGGATTAGCACTTATACTTGAGTTCCAATCCCAGCTTAGTCACTTCATAACTATGTGGCCTTGGAAAGCCACTTAATCTTAGTCATCTGTAAAGAGAGAAAATAAGACATTAGGGAGGTATTTGAAGGCTAAATGAGGGTATGCACAGTATCTGAACTATGATTTCTGCTCAGATATGACTGGTTTGGGCCACAAATCGAAACCCAAAGAAACTGGGTACAGATTTAATGCCTGTTTGCCTACCCAGGAGTTCCATTAACTTGGATTATTCTAACATTCCCAGGTTAGAGATTATCTTCCATGAGAGAGAAGCCCATGTCAAAATACGTGCTGAGTAGTTCTGCCTTTGTCTGTCCTCTGTGAACTCATCACATTTAATGAACCTCATGAACTAGGCAGCACGCTTATTTTTCCCATATGGTTTTGAGTCTAAAAAAAGCAAATTTGGCTATTCTTGGCAGTTTTTCATGAAGTTTGGCCCAGTCAGTGACTTCACATCTTTGACTCCCTTCTCCCATGTCACTCTTTATATTGATGTTGGTTGTGACCTTCACCTTAACATCTTGTTCCTGTCCCTTTGACTTCCTTGGGGATAGTCTATGAATATTCACTGCATTTTCCCCAGACCAGTATTCTTCCAAATGGTCAGCCACAAAGTCACTTTAGTAAACCAATCTAACATTTTTAAATAAACAAAGTAGAATTGAACACAAAAGTTACAAATGTATCTCTTGGGACTGGGGATATAGGTCAGAGTAAAGTGCTTATCATGCACATACAAGGTTTGGGGTTCCAGTCCCAGCACTGAAAAAAAATCATCACATGGATTAGAGTGAGTATTACTTTGTGAACTTGTGAACTTTGTTTCAGGTATGTGCGTGCACGTGTGTGTGTGTGTGTGTGTGTGTGTGTATGTGGTGTGCTGGGTGTCTGCATCATGTAAAATGCTTTTCCTCACATGGTGTCATGCTAAAAAGTTTGTAAACTCCTGCTCTCTCACTTCTTTTACTTCTGTATTACAGATTTTTGTGATTACAATGTCAGATTACCCTTTTTTGAATACCTTCTAGATCCCCAGGTGATGGGGCAGATCCCAACTTTCTTTTGAAGCCTCCTTTCTAAATTCATGCCTATCGTCCAGGGGGCCACAGTCTCTTGCAAGCCAGGCCTTCCTCATCTATTTGCTCATCTCTGTATCTCTAGCCCCAAACTGGTGGCTTTCTACTCTGGTTGTGCATTGGGACAGACTGAGGTGCTATTACAAAGCAGGTTACTGGGCCCCACTCCTAGCCAGTTAGGCCAGACTGTCTTAAAGGGTAGAATCATGGCATGATAGTAAGAACATCTAAATTTTTCTGAGTGAATGAAAGAAAGTTGCCCCCAAATGTTTATAATTTATACAATGTCAGTAAGAGTTTTATCCAGAGTGTTTAATCACCCTTGATCCATCCCCCTTCTGTGATTCCCAAGTTGCCAGGCAGGCAAGAAAAGAATGTCCAAGCTTATTCTTATCAAATAAGAATCTGAAGGATTCTTGGACAATTGTCATTACTCACGATGGCTATGTTGTCTCGTTTTTCTAAAAAGTCTACATTTATTTTAAGTCTCTTGGCTATGCTAATGTTGTAGTCTGTTTGTTTCAAATGTTTCATCAATAGCTTTGGTCAGGTAATTTTCTGGAACTTCCTTCTTGCATCTGTTCTTTTTTCCTGGGTCCTTCACTTAAATAATTTCCCCATGATCTTCATGTTCTCATGTTTAATAAATTGCTTCTGTGTATGTGTGCATGTATGTGAATATGTGCTTGCAGGTGTGTGGAGTGAATGTGATTCCTTTTTACAGAATGGACTAGGTATGATTTTTTGAAGTTGCAAGTCCTTTAAACACATCTGTGTCTTTAAATTTCCACACCTGAAATCAGATGCCCAGTCCAGACTGGGAAGAAGTCCATCTGTCAGTAGCTGTCAACATCAATGGGTACCTTGGAGCCATGATGTCACTTACCTAACTTTTTACATAAGAGTCCCCAAAAAGCTGATGAAGTAGCTCCTGTTCTGTGAAAGTGCGCAGAGCCTGGAGGGTGCGCTCTATCTCTCTTGTGTATCTGTCCATCTCTGCATGTGAGACCTCACACGACTCCATGTTGTACTCCAAGGCCCCACTGGTCGGGTAGAAGTGCAAATGCCAGAGACCACTAACTTTGGGGTTGTAAAGGAGGCAAAGTTCAGCTAAGGTGAACTTTGTAGGTTGCTTACCTTTGCAACTTACTGCTAATTTCGGAGTAGTTTTACATATGTTTCATTCCTTTCTCTTCCCTAGAACAAGATTTAATGCTTTCCGTGAAGTAACGGCTGTGGAACTTCCTAACTGTAATTTAGTTAAAGGAATTGGTGCGTATGTGAGAGGACGAAGTGTCTCATTTGAACCGCTAGTATATCACCTCTCTATGTAGTTCATGAATACACCATTTAATTTTGTTCAAAACCACAACTTTGAACAAGGAGAGTATTATTGAGTTAGCAGTTAATTATAAATAACACATCCTTTGACTTTTGACTTTTGGCATATTGCCAATATGTTAGCTTTTTTTTTTTTTTTTTTTTTTTTTAGTTTGGTCAGTAAAGCAAAAACAATCAGAACAATGCCTTATCTCATGTAATATAAACTGAGAAGACAGCCAAAGATGGAGGAAAGAGGGAGATAAAGCAGTGAGTAAAGAATATTTTTTTTTTGATAAATGCTCTCACAGGCCTTTGCAATTTACCACAAGGCTTTGCCTCATGCATCTTTCTCTTAATGTTAGAGAGGAAAAATTTTCCTAGAAGTTCTCAGCAGATTTCCCCTTAGATCTCATTAGTCAGAGCTGGAGGACAGTCTGGTGCCCTAGCTGCAAAGGAAGCTGGGAAAGTAATTATAGCCTCCATTGTGGGAAGCAGGCCCTGTGAGCAAAGATAAAAGGCAGAGGAATAGCAACTGCTGGCAACCAACAGGCAGTGTCCCATGGCTCCACTCACCATCTGGTTTCAACTAACCAACTTTGCTTTTGCAGACAATTTGTTTGAAATCCATGCTCTTATTATGTTTCTGGTGGGTGGTGGTTTTTGTGTTTTATGCTTAGAATTATTTATCTCAATTCAGAAGGCTTGCCCAGAAGACACATTCAGTTATCGTTATTAAACTTGGCCAGAAGTCTTAAGGCACAATATTGTTTCCTAGAAAAATACGTATTAAATATCACCTGATATTTGAAAACCTTACATCTTCAGAGTATGAATACAGAACCAAATAATTTGTTTGTCTCTAGATTAATTGAAAATTTAAAATTTTACATGCATTTATAACTAAATAGAAGATAGGAACATTTAATTGATCATTTGAAATATATCCCCGTTTTAACTCAAGTATTTGTTGTTTGCTTATATTTCTAATGTGGTTTTCAAAGGGTTTAATTAATTTGGAACTATTAGGTATTGTTATGTGTTTGGAGTATATGCTGAATCTTTAGAAAAACAGTGCATTCTTTCCAAATAATCACACCTTTTGAATATTTTGTAAATTTCCATGAACTTTCTTTCTTTCTTTATTTGCAGCACTAGGGTTTGAACTCAGGGCCTGGCTCTATAACTTGAGCCACACTCCCAGCCCTTTTTTTTTTGCTTTAGTTTATTTTTCAGGTAGGGGCTCATGTTTTTGTCCCAAGGCCAGACATTGACTGTGATCCTCCTGTATATGGTCTTGCAAGTAGCTGGGACCATAAGCAAGGGCCACCACACTCAGCAAGATAGGGTCTTACTACTTTTTTGCCTGGGCTGGCCTTGAACCATGATCCTCCCAAGTATCTGGGATTATAGTCATGAGTCACCTTGCTAAGCCTTCCATGAACTTTATATAAAGGTTTCAGACACTGAGAAAAAAAGCTCTAGTCCATCAATTTTAAACAAATATATTAAGTGCAAATTTAATTATACTTGTTAATGATATTAATATTTTTAAATGTCCATATAATGACATTCAGTAATTTGAATAAATAAATAAACAAAGAAGAGCTAATATGTAGCCCCATTTTCAAGTTAGGAGTGATGAAGAAGTAGATTTTCATTAATGGATATGAAACATTCTGTATATTCCTTCTGTTTGCAGAAGCAGGCTCTGAAGACATAGATATACTGCCCAATGGACTGGCTTTCTTTAGCACCGTGAGTGTTCACTTTCCCTTCCTGTTTTCTAGAACATTTTCTAGGACCAGCAGTTTGACTCGTTCACTTAGGTCTTCTATGTACCAATGCCCACTTTCAACACAGCCTGGAAGCTGTGTTGTGGTCACACAGGACATTGCTGTGGGTGACGGAAGGGTTTGTGGGGGTGGTCTGTTAGGAGCCTGTGGCTTCCAGATTCTCCCTGGGCAAACACTCAAGCCCATGTGGCCCTGTGACCAGACCGTGGCCTGGACCAGAGCACATGTACCACCTTTATCTGTTTGCAACATTTATAATGAGCCTGCTTTTTGTCCTCCATGCATTCAAGGGATTAAAATATCCTGGACTAAAGAGTTTTGAGCCTGATAAGCCTGGAAAAATACTTCTGATGGACCTAAATGAAGAAAACCCACAAGTGCTTGAGTTGAAAATTACAGGAAGTAAATTGGATTTGCCTTCATTTAACCCTCATGGGATTAGTACATTCACAGCTGAAGGTAACAATGTTTACTATTTACTAAACAACAAAACTAAATTTTTCAGAAGGAGAAATATGCCAGTGAATGAGTATTTCTTCTCATGACCATATTATGATCATGAATGTTCCTAGTTTTTGAGCTTACCTCCATGTTAATTAAATATAGTATTAAAGTCACTTAAATGCTTGAGAGTACTAAAATATTTAAGATTTTTACAGCGCCTAATTTTATAAAACATACATTCATGTTATCGCTACAATTGCTATAATAATAATAATAATAATAATATGCCCTAATCATTACAGACTTTCCATTTTAAACAATTTGAAAGTCCTAGATATTTACAGGTTTTTCTGAACTAGGTCATTGGTGACCACATAGTCAACTTTCTCTCAGCCCAGTTACCTTCAGGGCTCTCCTGACTACTGGTTACTCTGTTCTGTGTTCAAACTGTTCTTCATTTTGATGCCTTTCAACCTAATTTGTTGTCCCCATCCTTATGCATTTACCCCATTTTCCCTCTCTGTTTTCCTTGTTAATTTCCTTATTCACTATAATAATTCTCAACCTCACCTGGGTTGTTAAATAAAAAAATCCCAATGCCCTGGACTTGGTCCCAAAGAATTTTCTTTTGTTGGCCTGTTGGAGACCTGGTTAGCAGTACTTGTAAAAAAAAAAAAAAAAATCCAAGCGATGAAAACATCTCCTGATTCCCATTGTCTCCATTTCCTCATCAGACAACGATGCACTCAGTCCTCCTTCCCACTGTCCTCATTGTGGGTGGATAAAATTGCTGCCTTGAAAAGCTTCGCTGATGTCCATATTATCAAACACCCTTTCTCTCTTCCTTCCGTCTTTGTTTTCCCTCCCTCCTTCTTTCCTTCCTGCATCTCATTTTGTATTATTGATCACTTCCTTACTTCAAGAAGAAGTGATATTCCTACTTTTCTGTCCAAGTTCTGACCCTACCAAGGCTTTTCTACTTTTCTCACTGTTATGTCACTCCCTGCTGGTTCCCCAAGCATTCTTCTAGAGGTTCAATTCAATCATTTCTGCCTCTTTATTTTCTCTATTTCAGAAACTTCAAACTGCTGTCACTATGCCTACATCCCAAGAGAATATTCCCAAATATGAATTATTATTATTGGTATTTTTTAAGGTCTTCAGTTCCATTACTGAACGTGCTTATTAAATATTTCTAGATACTTCCCTTTGGGTTGCTCTCCTATAACCAGTTTAAACTCAAAATATCAAAAAATGATTTTCTACATACACACTCACACACATTCATTTATCTCTTTCAACTGTCTCTTCATACTTACCCATCCATCACCATTAGATTGTATTTTAAAAATATTTTTGAGTGCCAAGAAAATATAGTGTTCAATATGTGTATACGTTTTTAAATAAAATGGGGTAGTATTACACAAGCCCTTCTGTAAATTGCTTTTGTATTAAACACTACATCATGGACTCCTTTTTATGACCGAGCCTTTTGAACTACTTTGCTGCGTGGGAGTGCCGTCATACGGTTCATCCACTTAAGAGCTATTGAGGTTGTTACCACTTTTGTGCTCATCGCAAACAGAGACAAAATAAACATTCTTGTACATGGATCTTCTCCGAATATTTCCTTAGAATAAGTTTCTAGGAGTTGAATCTGCTGCACAAAATATGAATCCTGGTTTTAATCCTCACTTGTGTTTGGTTGCTGTCTCCCTCGTTCCTCAGCCATCACCAGGGTCTTTTGATACTTCCAGTCAAGTGCCTCTCAGGTCCTTTCCTATCTTTTTCTTGTGGGTGTCATTGTTCTAGCTCACTCCCTACTCTCTACCAGCCTGGATTACTGCTGGACCTCCGATCATGCTATTCCTTGGCTCACAGCCCCTAGCAAATATATCTTAGATCCTTTCCTAACAAGACTGACCCTGGCCATCTGCCTCTGTGGTCGCAGCCCTCCCACTCTCCACTCTTCTTTTCACTCTGCTCCAATCACAACCTCACCATTAAGTGAATGTGTCAAGGATGCACCTGTCTCCTTGGGGCTTTTGCACTCTCTCTTCCCTCAGCCTGGAATATTCTTTCCCAAGATATCCACATGGTTTGCTCTCATTTTATTTAGGTCATTGCTCTAACATTGCCTCATTAGAAAGACCGTCCCTGACTCCCACAAGGAAAACACCTCATTACTCCTGGTCCCTTTTACCTGTTTCATTCTTCCTTTATAGTAATTAATGCCAACTAAAACACACACTTACTGATTGCAAAGGTTAATCAGAAGTTGGCTTCTCGGTTTAAACCTCTTCAGTTCAACTTGCTAAACATTATTGCATCATTTTCCTTCAAACAGCAATTTGGTCATGTCAGAGATTTCCAAAACTCACTGCTTCTTCAGGCAAAGACTGCTAACTCGGATCACACGTTCTTGGCCACTGAGACTGGATTCCTTCATGTCCCAAACTCCCACTGACTCCCAGAAGCTGCTGTCATTTCTACAAGCTCTTGAATGTTCTTCTCATGGGATTTATCATCTTACACTCTGTAAATTATACCTGAGCTCACCTTCACCTGTTAGCAGTGCCCCTCCCTCTCCCTTTTATCACAGCTCGGAGTGGAGGACACTTGAATTAGAAAGCTCACAAGCAATTTTGGAGTTTTAGTGTCAGTGATACTCATTCTTAAGTTTTCCTCCTTTGGAGTTTTGAATTTTAGACTGTCACTTGTTCTTCCTTTTGCCACTTTTCTTTAGAGCAATCACAAATGTACTTCTCTCTAAAAAGACATGAAAATATTCCATCTGCCTGACATCATAAGTACTAGTTGGAGGTGGGCTGAAATTGTTTTTGGGAGACAGAGCTGACAGCTGAAAGCTCTGTTAATGTTTCAATTTTTGTTTTTCATCTCCTCTCAGATAATGTGGTGTACCTGCTGGTGGTGAACCATCCAGATTTCAAGACCACGGTGGAGGTGTTTAAATTTCAAGAAGAAGAAAAGTCACTTTTACATCTGAAAACCATTAGACACAAACTTCTGCCTAGGTACTGATATATATATATATATTTCTGTTTTCCCCCAGTGGCACCCACATTTTGCTTTTCATTTTGGCCAGGGCAGGTTCAACTTTCCTTCATAATGATCATAACCTCCCCCTTCACCCCTGCTCTGCCCCAACCCATCCCAAATGTTCTTCTGCAGAAGCTTTTGAGGACTTGAGTCCCTCAGAGAAGGCCATTCTCTTCCTCTCTCATTTCTCAGGCTGGTTGGATGCTGGTCTGAGGCTAATGGCCTCGGATCTCATTCAAGCTTTTACCAAGAAAAAATTCTCCTCTTCCAAGACCAGGCTTAGTATTTCAAATCCACACAAGCTTTAGAGATGAATTTCACATCTGGAGCTTATTTACTTTATTTATATCAAAAGTAGAATGAGATATTCTTGTGAATTCATAACACATATCGAAGAGAAGATCCCAAACCTGGTGCACCTAAGACTAGATTTAGGTGCCTGTACTGCTGTACTGGTGCCCACAACCCAAGCAGATCTGCAGAAACCCTCAGCCCTCAGCTCCATACTAGACTCCTTGACAATATAACAGATGAGGAAAGAAAACACCTGAGAATCCCCAGTCCGGCTCAATCCAACACAGTGAACTTTCTCCCTGGCCTAAGAAGATTGGTCTATGAGGCTAATGATGGAGTTACGAAAACAATCTGACACTATCCTCCAAAATAATTTTTACCTCCTAATTATTATGATTTTCTAGAATCCTGACCTCAGCTTGTATAATTTAAGTACATGATCAACCCCCTTCCTATTTGTAAATCTAGATCTGTACCCTTTGCAGGCCCCTAGAAAAGTAATTGGTGCTTAGAATGCACTCTGTGTTAGCTATGCCCCTTCCTCTCCTTTCTTACTTGGAAATTTTGAAGATGAGGAAACTCAGAGTAAAGGTAGTGGAGTTATTGGATGGCTGACCAACTAATTAGTGGCCATGTAGGTAGCAAAACCTTGGCCTTCCTCTGTGCCTGTAGGATGAGTGAAAGTCCAGAGAAGAGATTTGGGGTGGAAAAGTTTATTCAAACGTTCATTTAACACATATATTTTGGAAAGAGAATGAGGTCACTGAGTGTTTAAAGAATGTGAAGAATACCAAGATCTAACATAGGAAGAATTTACATAAAATGGAGAAGCTGGGATAATGATAATAATAATAGTAACACCAGCACAATGGGTTTTGGAAATAATGAGTTTTGGTGCACTTACCAATTTCAAAACATTGTTTTATTGACTTTTTACAAATACCTTCTTAATTAGGTATTATTATACCCATTGTGGATTTAACATTTTTTCGTGGCCTGCTATATTTGTTAAGTTGCCCCAAATGACAACACCAATAAATGGTGCAGGTGGGATTTTCATCCTGATAGTTTGACTCCTTTCACTAAACCACATGAAATAGTGACATATGTATTTGTTCCTTTCTATTTTGTGGCTGTTTAGAGCACTAATATTCCAATTACTATAAATCTACCATAATTTAAGCATTTTATTAATACCATACAGCTATTATTTTTGGTCATTTGCTGCATGCTAGGCCTGGGGCCAAAGCCTTTGTACTCATTATTTCATTTCAGCCTTACCCCAAGGTAAGGAGTGACTCCAAGGAATGGAGAGAAAACTGAGTTTCCCAGAAGGGGCCCAAAGTTGAGTGACATGCTGTGTCCTTACGTTGTGACAACAGCAAGCAAGGTCAGGATTCATACAGAGTCCATTAGATTTTAAACCATTCCACTCTGCAACATTTTTATGAAGAGTAGGCAAAATGATAGCAAAGCATACTAATTTCAGAATTTTAAAAAAGAGTAAAATCGGCTTGCAGATTTCTGTCTGGAGCCTGTACAGACTAATGCTAAATCCCCAACCCTTTCTTTTCCTTAGTCATACTACTCCCATTGATTGAGGCGTTCCTGAATTTGCTCCCTGCAAAGTACACCATAGGCATAGTTCACTGTAATTCCCTTGAGACTCCACAGATGAAGATTCTGGCCCATTGTCTTCTACTAATGAGCTGTATGACTTTGGGAAAAAAACTCATTTAACCTCTCTTTACAGATGAGAAAACTGAGGCTGTACATGCTGGTCTCTCTCACCCTAGAGCCCCGGCTGCGTCAGAGCTGACGCGTGGCCCATTATGCACTCTGTAACAGAGCAAAGACAATTTTCTCTGCGATCATGGCCCCAGGGAACTTCCGTCACCTCAATCAACAAGGACTGACTCACTTACGTGTTTGCTATTGTACCTATTAAAGCAGGAAAATAGACTCATATATCTTACATTTTCTGTAACAGAGAGAGAATCCTAATCAGAAAGGAAAAAAAGCCAAGCATCATGTTTTTGAGCTTTTTTGTTCATGCACATCTTTGCAGTTTAGAAGCACAAAACTTTCAGGCTAGCAGGTAGACCAGTATATGAGCTTCCTTTCACAGATAAGGAAACTGAGGCCCAATGTGAAAAGATTGATTTTTTTTCCCCCTAGATCTCATAGCAAAGCTTAAACTAAAATGCAGGTCTCCAGGGTTCTAGTTCAATGTTTTTCCACTGCCTTCTGATGCCTTGGTCTGACAGGAGTCAGTTCCATGTGTGCACAGGTTCATCTTGCCCTGATAATGATTCCTGGACCAATGTAAGGCCTAGACACACACACACACACACACACACACACACCCCACTACTTTTAAAGTACAGCTATTTTTATGTTACAGTGCTATAGTCACCTCTTCTTATCTTTGAGAATTGGATAGGCGGGATGATTTCATATTAATTCCCTGCCATTAGAGCTAACGTGAAGTCTCCACCCCATATCTTGACTTTAACAGTAGATATTAATGAATGCCGGTTCATAGTGCTGTACTGTGTGCCACCTTCACTTGTATGTATCATTTGTGTGTTTGAATTGCAGTGTGAATGATATTATCGCTGTGGGACCAGAGCACTTTTATGCTACAAACGATCTCTATTTTGTTGACCCGTACTTACGATCCTGGGAGTTGTACTTGGGTGTAGGATGGTCAAATGCTGTTTACTACAGTCCTGATGAAGTTCGAGTGGTGGCAGAAGGATTTGATTTTGGTAATGGAATCAGCATTTCACCTGACGGCAAGTACGTGCACTCTTTCAAAAGCAGCGGATTACTCAGGTTCTCGTTAGACAACTTTAGAATGTAGTCTTTCTTTAAGCAATGTGACTTCAATTTAACATGCAAGAAGAAATCCGGGAAGATGTAAAATTCTCTAATTTTTCAGGAGGTAAAATTTATCAAATCAAAAATTCGTGTTTTGTGAAAGAATACTGTGTTTTCATTTGAGAAAATAAAAGTACATTTCAAGAGGGAGGACATTTAGTATTACTAAAATAGCTTTGATTGGAAGGAATATTTCTGAGTGTATAATGAGATTAATAGTGTGATATGTAGTGTTGTTCTGTGACACCATATGGAGTTTGCACCAAAATGTAAACAAAGCACTGCTTCCTTCATCAACGAAGTCTTACTTTGAAAAAAAGAGTCAGTTTAATTCAGCAGTGTTCTTAATGACGTAGTTGATTTATCTCATGGTGGTCTTGTAATAAACAATTCAGAGACCAGCATTGGTCTGGGGAACCACACTTTGAATAGCATGTGTGTACACGCAAGATTTATGCATCCATCCATCTCTACCTTCCTGTTCTACCATCAAGGATATTAGAACATTAATAGCATAGGCTTAGAAAAGGCAACATGGACATCTTCCAACTATTTGGAGTGTCTCCTGGTCCTTAAAAACAGAAGATAATCAAGCCGTAATTTATCTTTTTGTCCTGGGATACACTGTGCTTAACCTAACTTGGAATCTTTATGGTGTGTGGCATTGTACACTGGGCAGAATACTAAATCTACAGGGTCAGGACCAGGCTCAGGACGAGAGGGGAGGAAGACTTCTCTCCATCCAGGCTAAGCAGCCGTCTTTTCTCAGATTTTCTCTGGCCTAAAAAAAGGGACTATTGGCAAGGGGCTTTTCTAAAGCTTCCTCAAGAGAGAACTCACAAGCCTCTGAAATGCAGAACCTGGGGTTTGTCATTATGTTGACAAATCAAGGGCATTGCATTTTGATCCCGGATATTAAGAGCTGGTGTGAGGGATATTCCTTACTTGCTGATTGGGGATAAGCAGCTTACCACCTTAAGGAATAACGCTTAGAGATTCAACCTCTTTATGCACTCTAAACTCATTGAGCTCTTTAGAATTTAGTGTGCTTTGAGATGGGTTCCATTCTCCAGTCTCAGAGCAAAGTTCCTCTCTAGGACAAATTATTGCAACTACGGTAATCTTTTGAATTGCACTACTTCAAGCACTTTGATGTAGCTCTTTCTTCTTTGAAGGTATGTCTATATAGCTGAATTGCTGGCTCATAAGATTCATGTATATGAAAAGCACACTAATTGGACTCTAACTCCATTAAAGGTAAGATGTATTAACATTGTAAGTTTGCAGGTGATAATTACATTCTAATTGATTTGTGAAATTAAAAGTGAGGTGAAAAGATTGTCTAATTGGAGTGGGTGAAAACCAATTTTTCACTCTTTTATTAAGATCATCAGTATCGTTATGTATTTGTTGTTCAGTTTTACTCAGCTGCAAAGTGGGAAACAGCAAACAACACCTCTCACCTAGGAAACTTTGGTTCTTTTTGCTCTAGTGAATTTTAAGTTTGGATTATGTCCCGAGTCTTTCTGTCTCTCCCTCCTTTTCCTTTATGTAGATGGAACAGCCAAGAACCAGTCTCTACTTGTGTTTAATATAGAACCTCTCTCTACAATACATACATAAAGGTCACGTGCTCACCATGCCCACAGTGTGCCCTTTTTTCCAGCCAGTCTACCTCTGCTGCCTCCAGGTCTTCTTGGAGGTCCCCACGCATGGCTCTGCCTCAGGACAGAGGCTGTTCCCTCTGCTCATGGAGATCTCCAGATCTCCATGGCTCGTCTTTCCTGCATCCCAATCTACTTGCAGTTCTGCTACTCCACCCCACCTGTTTCCTACCTCCTTTCTAGCTTTACTTTTGCTTTCAGCATTTATTATCAACATACTACATATTTTACTTGTCCTCTTTATTAACTGTCTCCCCACTGAGTGTAGGTTCCCTCAGGACAGATTTTTTTTTTCTATTTGTTCCTAGAATAGTTTCCAACTGCTAGTAGGCATTCAATGACCACTCACTAAACTAATATGATGGAGTCAGTTGTGCATCACGGGGTCACCTTCTGCCCCACCAGCTCTGGTCCAGGCTGAAAGTTTGGGTCAAAAAGAATAGAAATCCAAGGGAGAGGAAAGAGAGACCAAGAGCAAGGTGGAGCATATGAAATCAGCCCCCTGCCCCTGGGAAACCACAAGACACCGCTCTCTTTCCACTCACGCCCACAGCACGATGCACTGTCACTGCCAATGGCACGACTGTTCCCGTCAGCACATCCAAGGTACTGTCATGAAGGGCCTCACTCAGAGAAAATTACCTCAAAGCACCATCAAATCTAACATCATGTTTGACATTAAAAAAAAATCATTGGCAGACAGAAAACACCATGAAAAAATGCTCACCATCTCTAGCAATAAAGGAAATGCAAATTAAAACCACACTAAGATTCCACCTCACCTCTGTTAGAATAGCCATCATCAGCAACACCACCAACAACAGTGTTGGCGAGGATGCGGGGAAAAGGAACCCTCTTACACTGTTGGTGGGAATGTAGACTAGTACAACCACTCTGGAAAAAATTTGGAGGCTACTTAAAAAGAGACATCGATCTACCATTTGATCCAGCAATACCACTCTTGGGGATATACCCAAAAGACTGTTACTCCAGAGGCACCTGCACATCCATGTTTATTGCGGCACTATTCACAATAGCCAAGTTATGGAAACAGCCAAGATGCCCCAGCACTGACGAATGGATTAAGAAAATGTGGTATCTATACATAATGGAATTTTATGCAGCCATGAAGAAGAACGAAATGTTATCATTCGCTGGTAAATGGATGGAATTGGAGAACATCATTCTGAGTGAGGTTAGCCTGGCCAAAAACCAAAATTCGTATGTTCTCCCTCATATGTGGACATTAGATCAAGGGCAAACACAACAAGGGCATTGGACTATGAGCACATGATAAAAGCGAGAGCACACAAGGGAGGGGTGAGGATAGGTAAGACACCTAAAAAACTAGCTAGCATTTGTTGCCCTTAACGCAGAGAAACTAAAGCAGATACCTTAAAGCAACTGAGGCCAATAGGAAAAGGGGAACAGGTACTAGAGAAAAGGTTAGATCAAAAAGAATTAACCTAGAAGGTAACACCCACGCACAGGAAATCAATGTGAGTCAATGCCCTGTATAGCTATCCTTATCTCAACCAGCAAAAACCCTTGTTCCTTCCTATTATTGCTTATACTCTCTCTACAACAAAATTAGAAATAAGGGCAAAATAGTTTCTGCTGGGTATTGGGGGGGAGAGGGAGGGGGCGAAGTGGGTGGTAAGGGAGGGGGTGGGGGCAGGGGGGAGAAATGAACCAAGCCTTGTATGCACATATGAATAATAAAAGAAAAATGAAAAAAAAATCATTGGCAGAGCTAGTTTGGTACTAATTGAAGTAAAATGAAAATTTACACACTTTTACTGGCTGAGAGAATAAAAACCAGCTGTGGTTATAACCATAGATGCTTCTGTAAGTTGAGCGTCAAATCATTCTAGAATAAAATAAATTCAATATGCATTTGGAATGCTGGGCTCTGCTACCCCCAAAGCAAGGTGAAAGTGAGTCTTATTTCACTTTGGTAATGGACCATACTCATCTCTCATCCTAACAGTCAACTCAGTAGAGAAATTTCTGCAATCATGAGAATTTCTAGAGGTGAATGGTGTTGATGGATGAACAACACTGTGAATGTACTTAATGTCATGGAGTGGTGCAAGGAAAAGTAGTTAAATGGCAAATTTCATGATATATATACATATAAACACACGTATGTATAATATATACATATATGTTACTATAGTAAAAAAGAATTTGCCTTTCCTCCTTAAAAGACTGTATGACTTGTCAATTAATTCATCACACTTGAGTGAGCTTCAGTGTTCTAAAAATTGGTATATTTGTCAACAGAGGATGCAGTTTCTCTTGCAAAAAATAATTTATGAAATTTCCTTGACCAAGGAATGGGAGATCTTTCATTTGTCATTGTTAGAGTGTAAGAAGTGACACCCATGCCTACAAATTATCATGGTCAAGAACTACGTACCTGCAAGGCCAGAGGTCACTTCTAGACCCAGCACCAGCTCCCTGTTGTACCATGAGCTCTTCCATGGTGGGAACCATACCTTCTGGGTACTCTGCACTCTCCTGGTGCTGAGCTGAGCTCCTAGTAGAGCACATGATAGGAACTTGGTGATTACATACTGAATGGATGGGACCCAGGTTTCTGTGTCCTTCTACCACTCTACCTACCATGGAATTCACCAAGGGTTATTTCCCTTTAAAGATGGTAGCATAGCCCCGGGACACACATTTTCCTCAGTAAAGGAAATTAATGTATGAGGGTAGCATGCTGGCTCCATGGATAAAGTAAGGGAGACAGAGAAAGCCTGGAGCTGATTTTGACCAGGGGATGCTCACAGTTCAGCTACTTCCTGTGGCTAATGCGGGTGTTTCCGGACTAAGCAATGATGGTTCTGTGTGATGGTGAGAATGAGGCTCTTCCACATTGCTTGAACCCTCTAATCCCTTTGCAAACATGTGGGGACAGATCTCATTTTGAGAAGGAAGTAGAGGGCAGCAGTGGCTCCCTGCAGCTGCCTGCCCACCCGCTGGCCTTTGAAGTGAGTCACGACCAGTTATTTACAGGGTCCCAGGGCACTGAAGACTGCTGGACTCTGAGGTATTCCGCAGATATTGTTTCTCCGATGAGAGTTAGAGGTAAACAAATAGATGGGATTTCTTTCAGTAGAAGGCAGCCAAGATGATGAATGGTGGAATTAAGAATCGTTGGTGTTATTTATGATCCTGGTATAAAGCCTCGACAGCAATCTGAGCAGTCGTCACAAGCTTGCAACTTATATTTAGAGGATAAACAGCAGAAGAACAAGGAACTGAATATCATCAGGAAACTAAAGAACAAACTTTCCCTCAACTCCAAGGCAAAAATTAGACGCTAGGTGATCATTTCTTCTTTGGCTGTAGAGCCCCTGATTAGCCGTGAAAGAGTCTAATTCCATTGGCATTCTCATCAGAAGCGAATCTACATTTCCTGGTTGTTTTCTGAATGCTGGTAAAAATAACATTTACAAATGCCATTTGAGAAGGGACAGCTTTATGGTGCACTTAATTAAAAATTTTTTTTTAATAGTTTTAGGTTCATGCACAGATGCTGGTACAAATGAGTTCATTTAACATTTAGCAGTCTTTCTTTGCTTTCTGAATCTCCTCCCCTCTATCATCTGACCTGGAAACTGACAAAATACTAGCATAATGAAAGGCCAGCAGAGTTTCCTTTGGGAATGAGGCACTCTTGTGTCCTTGGAAGCAGTAGTGTAGTGCCAAGAACAGGGGATAGTTTTCCCTGACGTAATGCTGCATCACTCTAAATTTTTCCTTACTTTCTGCCTTTTGTTCTCTCATTTTTATCTTGGAAGTCCCTGGACCTTGACACCCTCGTGGATAACATTTCCGTGGATCCTGTGACAGGGGACCTTTGGGTTGGTTGCCATCCTAATGGTTGGAAGATCTTCTACTATGACCCAGAGAATCTGCCTGGCTCAGAGGTTAGTTTGAAAAATGTACCCGATCAGTGACCTTGTTTTCAGCTGAAAACATAGTTCTTACTTTTGTTACAAATGAAAGAGGGACACAGATGGATAATCCAAATGGTCAGAAATGAGAAGGACTTTTGTGTTTGGAGTCTAAACAGGAAACAGTACATCTAAACTGGGTAATTCAGGTCTGGCAGAGTGGCTCAAGTGGTAAAGCACCTGCCTAACAAGTGAAAGGCTCTGAATTCAAACCCCAGAACCACCCCCCAAAAATAAATAAATAAACTGGGTAATTCAAGCGAAGTTTAATAAAATAACTCTCTACAAAGATGTGGCCATAGTGTCAGGACATCAGCAAGGTAGGCAGGAAATGGCTACCAAAGCCAGAACAAGAATGAGTTGGGCGGGGATGCAGTTCAGTGGAAGAGCACTTTGCAGCATGTATGAGGCCCTGGGTTGGATTCCCAACACTGGGGTAAAAAGAGGGAGCAGTGTGTGGAGAGGGTTGTCTAAGAATAACCTGGCCTCTGGTTGAGGGATTGTAGCCAACCAGCTGTGACCTCACAGAAAGGAAGGCTCCCTCTAAGTCCTTCTATTCTCACAGCTGCTGCTAGAGGCAGAGAGCCCAGGATCCCCCTCAGAGAAGGCCTTGGTACAAATGTGGGTGATGCACATGTCTTCAGAGCTGGGTTGAGGAGACCCAGCTCTGGACAATGTCCAGAGCTTTATTTAAGTAGAAAGTCTCTCTGACTTAGGAAGTCACAGTAGTTTAAAAAACATAATGGTGCCACACAGCTATGGTTTGACCATTCATTACCCACCTTCCTGTTCAGCTTCCTATTCCTTCATGTCAGTAAAGTCTCCCTTCATATCTGTGGGGGATTTGTTCCAGGATCCCTATGGATGCAAGAGCCATAGATGCTCCCTTTTTTTTTTTTTGTCCTTACTGGTGTTTGATCTCAGTGTCTCATGCTTGAGGCACCCTACCACTTGAGCCACTCCACCAGCCTTATCTGTAGATGCTCAAGTCCCTTACATAAAATGGTGTATTTGCATATAACCTACACACATCCTCCTATATATTTTAAATCACTCTAGATTACATATGTAATTTCACTACAATATAAATACTATCTAAATAGTTATATTGTATTAATTAGATGATAATGATAAGGAAGAGAAAAGTCTATACATATTCAGTTCAGACATTATTTTTCCCAAGCATTTTCCATCTGGGGTTGGTTGGATTTGCAGATGTGGAACCCCAGATGCAGAGGGATGACTGTGTAGGCACAAAGCAATGCAGTGGACCAGCTGAAGCAGAACTAGCCATCCTCTTCTGACATCCCTGTGGAAGGGAGAGATAAATCACTTGCTGGAAGTTATTTTGGTTGAAAAGACCTCTTCGTTCATCTTTGTTATAACACTCAGATCTCATTTTTTGGTCATGATCTTTATTCAGCAGGTAATTATTCTTGAAGTTTTAGCAAGGATTTATTTTAGTATAGTGGGATAATGTAGGAAGAAATGGGAGAGGGGAGGGAGAAATATTTTTTCTTCCCCATGCAGGAAATGGGAGTAGATTCCTTTAGCAAGTAATTTTGCAGTACAAGTGACAACAATTTGAAGCCCACTTTGCCATAGGCATTTGAACATTTACCATGACTTATCTGGTCTTTTCTATTCTGAGTTTGCAATATGTACTAACTGTACTTGTCATTTACATCAGACACATGATAGCGTTTTGACATATATGTCTACTGTTGAGTGTTTTTAAAGTTTACTTTTAAGTCAGTATCACCTACCCAAAGGACCAAAAAATGTGTCATTTGTATTAAAAGCTCAAGTGTGCATTTCTAATTATATATGGCTCTCGTATCTCCTATATCTAGCTTTACTAGAAATTATGATCATGTTTCATGGAAATCCTTTGTGCCTTTTGTTAGTTTTTAGCTATTACGATTGCTGAACTGTATATTTAATAGAATTGGAGAATACAGACTGTGGGATGTTCACTATATAGAACTGAGCAGAATGTTGGATTCTAATTTGTATTTGTCCTTGCTTGTTAGTTCATTTAGTGAACTTGGGTCATTTGCTACAGCAAGGACTTGGTTTGTTGCTCAGGAAAAAAACAATAACTTCCTAATGATGTGTCTGGTAAGGAATAGCAAAAAGTAATAATAACCCATTATGTAATGCATTCCTCCAAAGTACAGCGATTTAGTTTTATGAACAAGAGGCTTAGTTAAGTCAAGGTGCACCATCAACTACGTCCTTGTAAGTCACTACTACATGTTACCGTTTCAGCAGTTTCCTAAAACATGTGTCTTTGGAGCTAGCTGTGTTAAAGAGGTCATTTTGAATGTTTTCATTGGCATTTTTATACCCATGTACTGGCCTTCCTAGACTGCCATATTTGCTACTTTGTATTATTGATATCCTTTCTTTCAGTCACTACCCAAGTTGAGAGGGAATTTAGGAATAATGTAGTCTTACCATCTTATTCTGTAAATGAGAAATAAGTAGTAAGTAGAGAATTCAAGATATGCCCAGTCTCCTGCCTCAGTAAGGCACTTCCTTTAGGCTGAGTCATATTAAATTGCTATTTTTGTCAGCCAGAATGACCAAATATTAGCTATTTCATATGGTGAGTTTAACATAATGCTACAGTGTTGCTAATGATGCAATCAAATTACTCAACTAAGTGAAGGAAATTGAACTTATGAAATCTTATACATTTAGAGAAGGTAACTGAACTCAGAAGAATGGATTAGTGTGGTACAGACACATGGTTTTTTGTGGGGGCAGGAAGGGTCATAATTTTCTTTTTTCTTGATTGCCTGCATTTAAAAAGCAGTGCCTAGCACTTGGGAAGCTGAAGAAAGAGGATCATGAGTTTGAGACCACAATTACCAGTCCCCTCGCCCCTTGAAATTAAGTGTTAACATTGAAATTCCTAGCTTAGGACTAGAGGTATGGCTCAAGTGGTATAGTGCCTGTCTAGCAAGCTAGAAGCCCTGAGTTCAAACCTCAGTGCCACCAAAAAAAAAGAAATTCCTAGCTTATTCCAGTCTTCCCACTATTTCGCATTTCCTGTGGTCCTCACCGCTCCCCAGGTTTTACATCAGGCTGTGGTGCTCGTTTATATATCTTGCCAGCCTCTGTGGGTGTGTGTGTCCTCTGCCGTTGTTCAAGATCATGTGATCAAATCTGACTGTTTACAAATAAGGAAACTAGTTATCTTAAACAAAGTAGTTTTGGAACAAAATACAATTTATATAACACTCTTGTCACACCTGAAAATTATGATTTCTGTTATCTTGGCACAAATTGCAGAGTTTAGTTTCATTGACCTGGATAAAGTTCACTCCAATGGCTTCTTACAGAGAAATGACCTCATGTCTAAGGTCATTGATTTGTGTGACTTTAAAAGAATACCAACCTCATGTTATTTCTTTGATAGGTGCTTCGAATCCAGAACATACTAACAGAAGAACCCAAAGTAACCGTGGTTTATGCAGAGAATGGCACAGTGTTGCAGGGCTCTACTGTTGCATCTGTGTACAAAGGGAAGCTGTTGATTGGCACTGTGTTTCACAAAGCTCTCTACTGTGAGTTCTGACCCATGTCATGGAAAGGGCCGGCCCATCATTTCAGCCCTTTGCCATATTCCAGGTGGCCACAATGAATGCTGACATTCAGTTTGGACATCAGGCAGCTAAGAGTGCTGTTTGTTGGGAGCAGATACAGAGAACACACTATCAAACTTGTCTCAGAATATTTGAAAACCTCATTGACCAACGGGAAACCCACTTTATTAAAATGGCTAAATATATCAATTGTCAGATCTTAAATAAATGTTTAGCTGTATGTGCTTTCCCTGAAACGCACTTGCTTTTTTTGTTCAGAAAACAGGAGGGTCACCACACCAGTCCTCAAAAAGTCCTCAATAATGGATGCCAGGTCATGCACTGGAAAACTACAAGTGTCCCACAAAGTCCCCCTCAGCTTCAGGCACACCTCCTTAGTGAAGCCATTTTAAAAATTATTATCATATTATTGTTGTACTGGGGGTACAATGTAACATTTACAGTTCTTACAATATATCATACTTGAATTCACCCCCTCCATCATTCTCCTTGATCTCCCTCCCCCATTCCTGGGATAGTTTAAAAAGAGTTCATGTTTCCATTTTCAAACACAAGTACCTAATACTTTCACCATATTCACCCTCTTTCACCCTTTCCTTATATCCTCCTCCCTCCCACTGCTATGAACTCCCAGACAGGACCTGTTTTATCTTCCTGTTTTCCATTTTTGAAAAAAAAAGGTCTTTTTGTTTAAGACAGCTATCTAGGGAGTTTCATTTTGACATTTCCATGTGCATATGTATTAGAACCCAAATTGGTTCATCTGTTCCACCTTAGTCTCCTTCTTATGGTGATTTTAACACGTTGAAAAATTGTATCATCATTCATGTATGCAGAGTAGATCAACCATATTCACCTTCTTCATTTCCTTCTTTTACCCTCCCGTTAGTGACCTCCCCTTAGAGTGACCTGTTTTTCATAATACTGCTTTATTTAGGAAACAGTAAATGAAACTATCCCCATGTTCTGTTTACTCTGGTCATTTCAATCCTCCTGTAACAATGGCATGTAGGAAAATCTTAGAATTCTTGGGGAGGTTGTCCCCAAGAAAATTATGATTTCTATTATCTACGCACAAATTGTGCATTTTAGTTTCATTGAGCTGGATAAAGAAGGAAGTTTGCTCACTCCAATGAGGGACGCAGAATGAAACCTATAACTGACTCAGGTAATGCTAAATGTCCCCCGAAGACTGTATTGTTGTTCAGGTGGTGTCAAGGTGGTTTGTTTGGTTGTTTTCTCTTCTTTTTGGAGGCGACAAGAAAAAAATAGAAAAGTAAACAAATTTTTAAATAGAAGAAATCAACAACAGCCTTTGGTTATCTTCTGAGGGACACAACTAGGAAGAAAACATGACTTCATCACCTGGTTATGTAAACTGACATAAAGATGTTACCTTTCATTGCTTACTTGGTGTTTTGAAAATAAGACCTCAATGCTGGATTGTTTCTTAGGGACATTAAAGCAGTCATTTCAGAAATAATGTTTCTAAGGTACTTGTACAATATGAGTATGGCTTTTTGGGGAAAATGATAAATTGAGAACTGCCAACCATTTAAGACCACTGATTTAAAGGAATAAACAAAAACACTTTCCTAAGGATTCAAGTTATTTTAGTCAAGTTATTTCAAGTTGTTGAAGTGATTAATTATTCAGTGATTCTATCTACTCAGAACCCAGGAAGCTGGACCCTGAAATACTGTTGGTAACTATCAATGAGTATGGCATTTAAGAAAAACAAAACAAAACAAAAAAACAAAACTCTTTAATTTTCTTTAAGAAGAATTTTCTGAGTAGCTATCTTTCATAGCATCTTCAATAAAATGACCATATTGTTGTTATTAACAGAATAAGCAGATTCTGCCAAATAAAGCAATCTATCCAATTTCATATAGCATGTATTTACGATCACTCAATGAGCAACACACCTTGGTAAGGAATTTTTTAATACACACTCCAACAAAGAGGAAAACAGGCTTAACTCATTTATTCTCCAGTGCCCCGATCTACATTTTCCTTGACCAAAGATTAATCACAGCTGTAGATTGTGTGTGAGATAGAATGAAATTAATATTCTCCATTTATTACATCCAAGTCTTCTGAATCTTATGCCTTAGAAATAAAATCGTTCAAAATAACCCTGTGCTCTAGCATGGACTGGTTCTCTCAGCTTGCCCCTCACTATGTGAGGCTGCCTGCTTAATGGGTTTGTCATAGACCTTTCCTGGCTGATAGGTATCAGAAACCTTGATGGTGAAGCAGTGACAGGGAACAGAAAGATGGGCAAGGGAGCCCCGATCTGATCAGAGGCTTTGCTCTTTTAACTTTATGCCCAGTTCCATAATTGTGCTTTCAAATGTAGTTCTAGCTGCCAATTTACACTTCACTGGAGTTAAAATTTATTTTTAGTTTCATTTCCATGAAAAATGTGCACTTTGCTCTTGATTGATAGATATGTTTTGACAGTTAGTACAGGTTTACCCAGTCAAGGCTTGTTTTAGTAGAAGGTGAAAATGGAAGAGGGAAAAAAAAAATGACTTCGACAGATCTCTGTATTTCTCTTTTTATTGCATTCGTTGTCTAACAACAATAATACTCATTGGCAAGAAATTTATTTACACTAACAAATGAAATTTAATCACAGGTATTTTTAGATTGGTTAGAAAACAAAGGACCACTGTTATAATTTGCTTTGAATGCCTTTGAAAACCAAACCAAAGGGCAAGGAATGTCATTTGAAACAGTACATATTAACCAAGCACAAGAGAGCAATTCAGACGTGGCACTATTGTCTCTTCCATGCAAATGATCAGACATCAAAATGTACAAATGAAAAGTTTTAGGTAACATGCTACCCACACTTATCAGATTCAAAATGATTTTCAAACAACTTTTTTCCCTTAGTGATATATAAAGAAAGGTGAAAATAAATCAGATTCTTACAGTTGAACAGAATTTTATTCTCATTTTTCAGCTGCCCAGTCTACTAGTGGTTTAATTGCAACACCACTGAAAAATACAAAAGCAGTAGATATGATATCAAACAATATTGAAGAAAGCATATGCATAGATATTTAAGGAATTCCACTAAGCACTAAATAAATTTGATGTTTTGGAGGTGTCATCTAGCTGGAGGGTCTCTTCCTACTTTTTTAAAGGTTAATTTTAAGTATCTCCGGCCAACTGTTTTTTCACAAACGAATGATTAAACCCTTAACAGAAAGCCTAGGTGTGTGAATAAAAGAGCTGAAAGAAATAGAAGTGCACACCTTCCAACAACATGCACTCATAACCACTTGCATTATTTTTGGTGACAACCAAAATACCGTTATTCAGAACAAGTAAATAAATGGTCGTGTGATGGCAACATTGCCACCAGAGAGCCGATAGTGAGGACGTAAGCATTGCAGCTGCTGATTATCTCACTTTAGAAGCGTGAGTCAGTGCACAATATCACAGTGCAAATTTTAGCCAAGGAAACTATAGTCTGCAGTTGAAAATGCCCAAAGCTGCATATCTTCTGCGCTTTAACTCAAAAATGTGCAATCTTGACATCGAAGCATTAACCAAACACTTGAGGAACTGTTATCTTACTAAAATATCAAGTATCTAATAAATCAATTTTACCAAAATATATAAACATGTAGAAGGATAAGTGCATTTAACAGGAATAAAGAAAACCTCTTAAAGTCTATGAGCCATTCGATGTATATACAACATTAAAAGTGGCAGTAAGGCTATGACTACAGCTCAGGATCCTAACTGACATACCAAGTTCCATATACAGTATTTTTATGCCATGTGATTGCAGTGTACACCTGTGTGTAAGGTGGAAGATATATTCACACACATGTTGTTCTGGACATCTACACGAGTAGCATGCACACTATTGAGAAATTGCCTATCGTTCTCTTATTCCTTATCTCTTACTCATTGATGGTTGAATCCCTACTGGTTTTGGGGTTGGGTGGAGCCAAGGGTTGGGAAGCATCTTGTTCTTTCCTTCCCTACTCTGAGCATCTGGAAATAGGTGTCACAGGCTGTGCTTTGGTGCTCACATATCTAAATCTTCAAATAACCATTTTCTCCACAAACCCAAACAGATACCCAAATACAAGCACATAAGGACCGGCTGTCTACTATGAATAGAACTTGTTTTGATTTTTTCGGGAAAATTTTATTCTCTAGGTCTTTTCTTTTGGGTGTCTCAGTTCTATGTTGCTATTTCGAGCTATTAAAATATGTTTTGCTTGGTGTTATTTTTTCCCAGTGTTTTGGATCCAGACTAAATTTCCTTAGATTTTACATATTCAAGACAATGCCAATAAAATTTGCAGACACAGCCAGGCTGGTTTTCAGGAGTGTAGCTCTGTAGCACATTCAGATTTCTGGTAACACTGCTCTCCTATAAATCTGCTTTCACAGATTTCCTGTAACAATCCTCACGCCATCATAATGAGAACAATTCTGGTAGAAAATACAGAAATTTTACTTCTGGACCTCATCCTTAAATGCTTAGCTTTAGAATTGTGCACAGGTAGATCTTTGGTTAAAGGTATTAGAAAAGATGAGAATGCAGGGCTTTTCAGGGAGCAGTGGTGTAGGTGACACGAATCCTAGTGACCACTGTCCTCCAAAGGGAAATGCCCCTTGTCTCCAGCTCTGTTGGGAGTACTTTTTGCTCCTCAAGTGGAGTTTGGCAAGTCTTAACTATCTCAGTGTAATGAGAAGGCTATCGCATACCCAAAGTATATAGGTCTCTTTTAGAACTGTTAGAACTCCTTCCTCCAGAATTTTCTCGAACACTGCTGTTATCATCAATGGTCATCTTGAAGTTTAGTCTATTTAACCTTTCATGCTTATAAATTAAGTAGAACATCTGCATGAATGCAAAATTCCATTTACCTTTTATAAAATGTAATTTTCAAGCACGCATTACTTCTATTGCACAAAGAACCTAGAAAAGAATTCTTTGTCTTCAGCAAAAACTATGAAGGTTGAGTTGCTACATTTAACATCCTGTGGCCATTCTTATAGCTTGGACCTGGAGTATTTCAGAATTACCAGACTGACTATAGGGTTATAGGTAGTGGTAAGAGTTTTCACTTTTCCTCTTGCAAAGTGACACAAGCTGAGTATTCCCATTTTGTGCCAATTGGAAGCTGAATTTGGCATTAGCACCTATCATACTGTAATCATGAACTGTTGTTTCTAAAAGGGTGCATGAGGAAGGGAAGGTAGAACTCCAGCTAAATGGTGATGGTCAAAATAACTTTATTGTCATGAAAGAAAAGGTTGACTTTCAGGCTCAGAAGGCTGAAAATCACGTTCTTCCTCATATATGGATTATAGACCTAAAACAAATGCAGTAATATTATTGGACATGGGTCACACACTAAGGGGAGAATGTGCACAGCAGGAATAGAGAAAGGGAAGGAAACCTAAAACTTGAATGTGGTTGATGTGCTCACTGTAGAGGAGCAAATATAGTAATTTTAAACTGGCAGAGGTCACTATGGGAAGGCGTCCAGGAAGCAGCAAAGAGTTCTGATAGAGATGAACCAATGTGGCTTGCAATACACATGTGCATGGAAGCAATGCTAGGAATCTCTCTGTATAGCTAGCTTTATCTCAAACTAGCAAGAACTCTATGTCTTTCTTATTATCTCTTATGTTTTCAACAAAATTGGAGAACAAGTGGGTGGAACAGATTCTGCCTGGAAGTGGGTGGGGGGAGATGGCCCAAACAACATATATACATGAGTAAATGTAAAAGTGATAAAAAAAGAAAGGGTGGGCTTGGGCTTTATCAGAGGGTTAAAATGGATGAAGTGTGGTTTCTGCCCTAATTGAACACTGAAGAACACTTTTGATTTAGGAAAAAAAAAAGAAAGGAAGGAAAGGAGGGAGGGAGGGAAGGAAAGAAGGAAGGTGGGAAAGGGAGGGAAAAGGAGGGAGGAAGGAAGGAAGAAGGAAAGGAAGGAAGGAACGAAGGAACGAAGGAGGGAAGGGAAAAGAAAAGAATGAGAAAAGTGTTACTTCATTGTGAGTTACTCTAAAGGAGATAGTCTTGAGCAAAGTAATCTGCAACAAAGTTCATCAGTAGAAACCCTGATCCAGATGAGGCTCCTAAAATCCTACTTACAGCTTAGCCTCACCATATACCCTCTCCCTCCAAGGCATTACTGATACCCCAAAACACTTTAGGCTATTGTTGGAGTCCTACTGAACTGTCCTTTACTGGAATATAGCTCCTAGTAGCCGGATGCTTACTTTCATTCATTTTCTGGTAATAAAAAGTGCGACGTCTTTAGAGTTCATGAAGCAAAGATTGTGTGGGAAAGTGTCTGAACACGGAAAGCTACTAGCATTGAAGTAGGAATTCTTATCATGCACTGCAGTTGATAAAGAAATAACAGAACAAGATGCTCACAACATCTGAGGTCCTTCACTTTTTTTCACACACTTGTATTGGTCAGTTTACATTTTATCCCTTGTCGGACAACCCAATCAAGTTCCTTTTAGAATCTCAGAAGTTTTTAAGTAATAATGTTAAAACAACTCACTCATACCTAAAATTACTATAATTTAATTTAAAAAATCAAGATAGTAATAATAAACTAAATGATCTGAGGAATTAGAATTTGATTTTTAACACTGTCAGTTGGACAATGATCTAATAGTGAGGTGTAGAAATAATGTTGTAGTAAACAATACTCCTAAAACATTTAAGAAAATGCAATATAATAGACCATAAATTATGGGTGGAGACAGACTTACAGACATTTCCAATATGTACATTCATTTTCACATATTGCCAAAGTGTAAACATAACTTAAAATAATCATCCTTCAATTTCCAATCTTGAAATGAATATAGTGAAACTTCCAGTGGGATCCAGTTACTCTTAAACTTCTAAAGAAAAGCAAAAATGGCAAAAGTTTACAATAGCAAGCACTAGTATAACCAGATTTTACTAATTTAGAGTTCTAGCATTAGAAAAGTTCTGCTGATTTCTTGTGAGAGTAATAAACAGCCAAGCACAAGCCATCTGAGATATTAACAGGTACCCATGGCATTTTCATCATCACACCCGAGATGAAGACAGAAGAACATAATCGTGACTCTGACCACTGTGAAGCACCGTGCTTCTCGGTGTGAACATTTCTGAGAATCAATGATCTGAACCCAGTGACAAGGCTGAACTTTAAAGACAACATTCTGGACCAACAGGCCCTAAGGGAAAGAACAGGATTGTAAGGTTCTAGTTCAGACAATTCCAGAACTCAGATATTAAATAATAAAAATACAAAATAAAATCGCAATGTTACAAACAGGTAGGGTTATATGGGCAGGAGATCCCTTACATATTTGTTACCTGTAACACTCAAGATCTGTGCCCCAGGCTCTGCATACAGAACACTTCCAGTGCAGAAATGGACAGTGCTGGGCACAGAGCCAAGAACTCACGGTGGAAAGGAAGTAAAACACTTGTCCAAGAACTCATCTGGCCTCAAGTCTTACTTTGAACTTTTTCCACTGAAAAGCAGATGACCTCATTTTTAGAGCCAATGCAGCAAAAGGAACACGATATATAAGCACAAAAAGCAAAGCAAAAGACAAACAGAAAACTCTTATCATTTGAAATTTCTCAAGATGGATTTATTTTCTCCTTCTGCCCTAGGCTCCTGCTCTCCACTCAGATCGGTGAAATACTGAAATCCTTAATACTGGCTTTAAAATAAGCTTAAGTTCTTCCACTGCTAAGGTGTATCCTTAACCAAACTTTTAGCTGAGAAGTAGAAATCTCTAGTGTATGGAAGAGAAAGGCTTTTAAAAACCATTTGAAATACCTTTAAAATGTAACCGGTAGCTCTCCTTTACAGAATCATTTTGTGTGTTTAAAAAATTGGTTTTTTGGTTGAATATTATTCAAATCTAAATTTTTTTCTAATAGGTATTTCTATTTTTCTTAAGATCACATTTGTTAAAACGTTAAGTGAGCTCACTTGAGAAATTCTGACTAGAAAATATGTGAGAAGTTCCTGATTGGGTCATAGGTAGGCTGAAGATCAGCTAGAATGTCCCCAGGAGAGGAAATCCGGAAATATTGGTTTCCCTAAAAATCAATTTCCTGTTCAATTTTTTTTGGGGGGAGAAAGGACCTGTGTTGTGTTTGCTGATGTTGCTGAAATACTGAACACAGAGCGGTAGCAAAGTAAATAACAGATCCCAACATCCCATGGCTGCACTGGGTCTTTCTTTTTCAGCAATGTCTGGAGGATAAATGTTACCCTCAGACCCCAAGGTATACCCACATTCACATTCATAAGGCTCTGCTCTCTTCTGCAGTTAACACACAGCTATGATTCTTTTCTCTCTGTCTGACACCCAGCAAGCAGAACAGAACACTTGGTCTGTACCTCAGGAAGTAATGAAGTGGCTGAGTACCCATGTTTCCCCAGTGGGATTGTCTCACTGCCCTGCCATATCTGAGCGGGGCTTTTCCTCCACACTGGACTAGTCTCTGCTGCCCTCGGAGTCAGTGTGGCTCCCACAGCACAAGGCAGCTGCTTTTTTTACACAGAAAGGTGAAACTGCCCAGTTTCAGGGTCCCACACTGAAAATCCATGGTGCTCCACACCACTACCCAGGATGTGTTGTGCTCCCATGGGTGGAGTCACACTGGTTCTCCATGTGGCACAACACGCCCAACACAACACAGGATGTTGGTAGGTAGAAGAGAGAAACACAGCTACTTTGCATCTCTCACAAATGAGATTTCTAGTTTGTTAATAAACCAAAGTGGCTTGGGGCTATTTCAGGAGGTTTAAATTAAGAGTGCATTCGATTATTGCAGAAAATAAAGTCATTTGACACACAGTTCCTCAATCTGCCTAGGGCAGCATCACTCCCATCGTCAGTTTCTTCTTCATTCTCTGGAGAATGGGGCAGGAAGAGGTATCACAGGAGGAGGGTATCACTGCTCACCAGCACCCTCTGTGGCAGTGGATGTCATCTTTTCAGACTTTTTGGATTTCCTCTGCATTTGCTCTTGCTCCTTCCTCCTCAGCTTTTCTCTTTGTTTTTCCATTTTCTCTTGGGCCTTTCGAGCCTTCTCCAGAGACATCTTCATTTCCTTCAGTTTTTTTTTGACTACTGCTCGGTCCTGGGATGATGTCATTCCAAGAGCCTATGAAGAAATCATGTGCAAATTGAATTTGAAAACTAATGACTCCTCTGCTTATGATGAGGTAAATATCACAATATATTCCAGCTCATAAATAAACATAGAAGAAGGCAGAACTGAGGAAAACCAGATTATATGTGCTAAAAAAAAAATCTGTATGCACTGGGAAGGCAGGGGGTGTCCTGTGTGCTTTGTTTGTTCTTTGAAATCCCTTGCAAAGTACACCTTAGAACTCACTGAGAAAATGCTTTCCAAATTGGTAATTAATGAGTGAGTAAATGAAAAAAATGGCAAGACTCTACTCCAGCCTTTGGGCTATAGATATTTACATGCAGAAGTATTGCTGAATGCATCAATATTTTCAAAGGGTAGTAGTAAGCACCTGCTGTCACAGAGGGCTCCAAGGAGGGCAGGAAGAATCGAATAGCTTCCTTTCTGTCAATGTATTCATTTACAATGAGAACCAAAAATGTCTTTGGGGCCAGAATGCCCATGTCAGCATGACTAGCCAGTCTCTCCCTGTTGGCAGCCCTATAAAGAAAGCCTGATTATAATGAGGTTGCTCGATGAGCTTGGAATTCAGAATAAGGGGTGATGGTTGCATACTTTAAATGTTTCATGACCTTCAGAATCAACAGCAGGATGCATCCATCTCCCCAACAGGGACAGCCTTGTCAATGAGGCCTTCATATTCACAAGCTATTGATTGATCTCTAACCTTTTCAACACTGTCAAGAGAGACCCATCTACCCATCAGCCTAGCAGGGGTCTGAGGCAGTGGGGAGAGGTGGGTGGAGCTGGCTATATGCTCCTTTTGCCCTTTCTTCTACAGGGGTGGGTGCCACCTCAGTCTCTAAGAGAGATGGGTTGGACAAGTGGAAATGAGAGTGCAATGGAGGGGGAGGGAAGACATGGCCTGCATGTATTTAGAGAAGAAAGTGCAGGAGAACATCATCCCAGTTTTGGAATGGTGTGTAGGAAAGAGGAGTATGGAGGAGAAATGCATAAGGAAAGGAAGATTCATGGATCTAGTTCTTAACTCTAATGTGATGAAAAGTCTACATGGGCCATATTAAAACTCATACTGCATGGGAAGTAAGTAGAGTTAATATATGGACCATGTGTTGCCAGGTGAAGCAATGGAGCAGGTCCCTAGGTCTCCTAATCATCTGCCTACCATTTGAGTCACAACCCCTGATGGACTTTCTGAAACTTCATTTCCTACTCAGAAATAGTTCATCACCCTTTGCACTGACTATTGACAAGAATTACAGGTCAGATACACAGAGTACTCTTAGTTACTAAGACAGTTCAGGTGCTATGCGTAATACAAATTATACCCAGTAACCTAACGCAGACATATAATTCTTTACCTTAAGTTTATTTCCATCCAACTGCAGGAGCTGCTCTCCACTGATGTTTTGGGCACTGAATTCAGAAACATACTGCTCCAGATTTAGACTCATTAACCAGTGAGAAACCTGCTGCACACTCCATTCATGGACGGCTCGATTCTGACACTGACTGTGCTTGGGAGACTGTCCATCGTCAAGGATCTGGGATAGGAATGTTATGCAGTGTGGTTAAGGACCAAAATGCTATGGCTTGTAGTATGTTATCAAAAGGAATGTCTTAACCTATTAGAGCCACGTTTATATTTAAACCATAAAATGATAATGGCTCTAGTTGTGTTAAAAAGAAACATACCTGTCACCTACGTTGTTTTAGGTATATGGAAATTTAAAAATTCCCCCAAATAAAGCACCGTTATTAATGTAGGAAGTTCACTATTGAAAAAATACACTCTAATGTTGTAAGCTTTTACATTGAAACACTTATCAGATATAGAAAACAAAATTTTATAAATTGTACATGCAATGCATTACTGTATATTTGCCTTCTCATAAGGCAATAGAGTTTTATAAAAACACATTTAAAATATTGAGGTCTCTTTCACTTGGAAGAGGAGAGCATTAAGCCCTCCAGCCTTCTTAGGGGAAAATTTCACAATTATTATTTTGCTTGTGCAGCAAGAAATGAAGAAGATAGGGCAGGAATATCCATAATTACTTTTAATACACAAGGAAACTGAGTCTCAGAAAGTCTACATGATCTCTCCAAGACAACATAGCTAGTACAGGGTGGAGAGCTCAACAAGTGGTTTATTTCAAACTTCAGGCTCCGTCCACTGTAGAATATTGCTTTTAACAGTGAAGGGACGGGATGGTTTCTAGAACCACTAAGCTGAGTGATGGAGCAATGATAAGCCTTGGAGAAATGACAGGAGTCACCTTGGTGACCCAAGGCAGGAACACAGAAGAGGGATGGAGTAAGCCGAGATGAAGGCAGAAGAGATGAAAAAGAATGGTCGGTGTCAAGGTAATGGTGACGGGAGATAAATCGAGGGACTCTGGTGTGGAATTTAGATCTGCTTGATACAGGAACATCTTCTAATTAAGATGTAGACAAGAGCAGAGAGTGAGGCTATTTAACATAAGAAACTCTCCATTACAGAGGAAAGCATTCTTGTATTGTCTGATTTTTAAACAACTGCCAGGCATTCCCGTATTGTTTGGTTTTAAATCGTTTACAAGCAAAGAAGAAAACAGGTTCAAACAACACAACACAAGGCACCATACACAGCCCACTGAGAGCTCACCTCGTCATCTATCATATCCAGGCTCTGAGTGAGGAGCAACAAAGGAATCAAGAAGAAAAGGGTTATAGAAATGGACACATAACATCCACATTCCACAGTTTTAATAAGATTAAAATTATGCCAAGTTTGAACAATATGGGGAGAAAAGCTTATAATACAAGGAAAAAAGTTTTATAAAAGGAAAATAATGTTGGGATAAAGAAAAAATAAGAACAAATATTTAAATAAGGGCAAAAGTATCTTAATTACATCATTTCCTGTCCTGTCTTTGGGAACTAAGTTAATTCCTAATGTAGTTTTCTGCTTCTCTTATATGCATTTATCTCCTGGTAATTCTTGGCGGTGCTAATCTTGACCTCAGCTTCCAAGTAAGTGGTTTGCATTTTATTTTCTTTCCTTATCAGAGCTGTGCCTATTAAAATGGTTCAATCAAGGACCACATCATATTCAAAAGCATATCACAATTTGGGGGTAAGGGTGATTGTGATGGAGGTGAGGAGAAAGGGAACTGATAATTCATAAACTTCCATGTGATCTGAGTTGCTCCCCCCATTTTTTTTTTTTTTTTGTCTCTAAGGCTCAGCTTTCCCACCATGTGTGCTTACATACATAAAGGGGTCCCTGGAAAGCTTAGAGGGTCTCAGAAACAACACTTTGCTTTCAGGTTGAGAAAGAGGGAGTGAAATCATGAAGAGTGTCTTAAAGTGTATTAAATGTAAAAACCATTCTGATGATTTTTATGTAAAATCTATTCTAAAAATATTTTCCTGGGTTAGGCCATCAGTAAAATGTATGATCAGAGAGAGAAGTTTTGTCACAGTGGCATGAAAGTACCTCATCTGATGACAGTGCTAGGGACTGAGAGAGTCCTGGTGTTTTGGGTTCTGCTCCTAAGCCACTCAGGTCTGCTGAACTGGTACTGCTGGGACTGAAGTCATCATTGAAGGTAAAATTCTGTAAAAATAAATGAAGCTCAGTGTTAAAGGTGCACAGTGAGTGAGCCGGAGGTAGGCATGTACGCAAGTCCTCAAAAGGCTCTTGCTAAGTAATCTTAGAAGAAACGCATGTTCGGTTGGGTGATGACCTTCAACTGGGCATTGGTGGGGGAGGCTGAGCCTTCTGTAGTTAACCTGGAATTCTGGGCACTTTCTCCATCTGATGAAAGGATAGGTGTGCTATAGAGAAATGATTCTTCACTTTCTCTCCAAGGCTACAGAGTTCATTATCTTCTGCAACTGCTCAGAGGAGTAGTATTAATAAGCTTATCTACGTTGAACCTTATAGTGCTGGGTAGCAGTGTTAAGTAAGAATACAAGATGCTGTGGAAAGGCTGAATTATTAGGAACAGATGGTTATTCAGATCAGGAAGGTGGCTGCAGCATCCTTGGGAAGGATGGCGTGTGGTCAGCCCTGGAAAATACTGTGAAAAGCAGCAAATCTTCTGGATGTACCCTTCATGATGATGAGTTCTGGGGAAGGGCATGGTCTGATAATATACCACTAAGTCCGTGGTGGAATACAACTCTTTCACAGTACCAGCAGACGATCAGAGAGGCTGCTGCACAGAACAGACACACATGTCTCGACCACCAACTGGGGCTAGGGAGGTGGAGTGTGTAAATAAAACTTCCTTAGAACTGCTTTAACATGCTCAATGAATATTAATCAAACAAGTTAACAATGCTACACAGTGGTATTTGTGAGAATATTTTACACCAGGTCTAGATTTTCTTCAGTGCATGATAATGACAGAATTATTCATGCAACATTTAGGTGCCTCAGATCCAACATTACAAGGCCCAAAATGGTCGATTGCTGTCCTAACATCTTTTGCTAGTAACTGTAGAATGGCTGCAGTCCCGGAACTGAACACTTGATCAATACCATCTTGTTTCATATTTCACTTTCTTAGGAATTGGACTGGTAGTTTTCCATTAGGAAACTAATGGGAGTTAGTTGGTTTTCAAGAATAAATATGGCTGGTGGAGTGGCTCAAGCAGTAGAGTGCCTGCCTAGAAAACATGAGGCCTTGAGTTCAAACCCCAGAGCTGCCAAAAAAAAGAAAAAAAAAAAAAACAAAACTGTATCAGTGACTAGAGAATTCAGTACCAAATGAATTGCTATAATTTCAGTAAAGGAGTCTTAATCTGAGCCCATCAGAGCCAGGCTAGAGGAGTGCTGAAGCAGCAGGGCATTTCACACAGAACCTCACCATTTGGTATTAACAATGGAGACGAACCCCAAGTTCCCCCAGTCAAAACCCTTTGAGCTGTTGACCTCAACAAAAGAATTAAATTCAAGTGAGATTAATTATGTTTCTGTTTGAGGAAGAAAAGCGAACACAGATAAAAAGAGACCAGACCAAACAATGTAGAAAGTTAGCCAGATGTGTTTCGATAAAATGTTAGATAAGGTTCGCAGCGTCATGCTGGAAATAACCATTGTGCATTCAAAACAAATCACAACATGCAGACAGTTCCTAACTGTGCTGAAGTCAACAAACTCGTGGCAGAATTTCAACAGCTGTTCAGCATGAACCTTTGATAGGAAAAGAAGGAATAAGTAAGCCGCTATGTCAGCCTTGGTTTGTTTTACAGAGTTTCACTTAGATGTATGGAACAGGTTTTCAGGCCCCCAATTTATCTGTTTTCCAGAAAATCTTGAAGAGCACAGAGAAATAGTTTCATAATATAATTTAAAGAATACTTAGTAAATAGATCTATCATACTGGTTCATGATTCAATATGCATCTTTCCCAGCATGGCTTAACTGTCAAACTGAGATTAAGAAGCAGTATGTGAAAAAGGCAAGCAAACCAGAGACATTTGGATCTAGACTGGACCAGTCTTAAGTGGTTAAGTGAGGCTTTCTTCTCCCCACACAGGAAACACCATGCATTGCTTATTGCAGTGTTAGGACATTGGTTCCTCGGATCCAGGACACACACACAGGTTGAGAATGCCTTCCAAAGACTGAAGAGGAGGAGGCATTTGTATTTTTCTGGTTTCTTTTTTTAATCCACGTGTTTTTCTACCTTGGACCTCGTTTTATCTGAAATTAGAGTCTCAGGAGAAGGCTGAAGGGGACTTGTAGGTGAAGGCGGGTTCCCGAAGGAATAGGATCCTTTCCGGCTTTCATTAAACCACGAGAAAGGCATGCACCGGGAGCGAGTGGAGGCCAGGGCTGCTGAGGAAGGCCTGGGTTTCCAGTTTTCCAGCCGGCCTCGGAAGATCCTGTCATGTGAAAAGAATGGGTGTGTTAGACAAAAAAAGTGCAAAAGACTTATCAAACCAAATTCTGAAAGGACTCTTAACACAGTTGGAAGTAACTTTCAGAAATTCTTCTACTTAACACAGTAAAAATGTTGTACTTTAGACTAGAACACTAATCTTAATAGCTATCTGTTTTTTGCATCTAAATAGAGTGTATGAAAATAACCAGCATTCTCAAATTGCTATTGCTACAGTGAATTTTTACTAAGTACACCTAATAAGTGTGTAGATGTGAATCAAAACCACAGAGGGTACAGTATTTCAGCGATGGCTGTCAGGTTAGCATTCCAGCATTCCTGATGTGGTGACATGTCAGTGTCTCACCACTGTCCAGCAGCATTAGCACATAACCAGCATTCTTCCTGCCCTCCTCTGGACTCATGTAGCCACTGTCTATGACTTCAGAAAATGACACATTTAAATAATTTGAACGATTCAGAGTTTAGGTAGCTTATTGGTTCTTCGCTGTGATCTTAGCATGTTTTCACAGGATGAGCACGAGGAGATTCAAAGTTCTGCAGAGCCCTCTTGGAGGTCCAGGGCTTACCACCTCCTCCCTATGTGGTGTCATACTTCACAGCCTTCTATCTCCACCTGTGAAAGGTGGTATTTTTATGTACCACATATGTGATTGTTAAGAATTAAAAAGATAACATCCATGACAGTTTTGAAAACTATTAAACTGTAAAAGTCTATGTCTACAGCTTAACATATAAAGGATTTGGGACTGGGTGTGGTGGTGCACACCTGTAATCCCAGCTACTTGGGAAGCAGAGGTGGGAGGATTGAGTTCAAGGCTAATCTGGGCAAAAAAGTAACAAGATTCTATCTCAAAATGCAAGGTGGGCCTGGTGGTGCACATCTGTGAATCTCAGCTAAGTGGGAGGCACCCATCAGAGGCCACCCCAGGCAAAAACACAAGACCCTATCTGAAAAATAAACTAAAGCAAAAAGGTCTGAGGGTGTGACTCAGGTGGTAGAGCACTTGTCTAACATGTGTAAGGTTTTAAATGCAAACCCCAGTATGGCCAAGAAAAAAAATAAAAGCAAAAGATACAAAGGCATTTGAGAAACACAGTATGAAAATGGATGTTTTCCTTTGTGTAGTACTTTTATATTTGTATTTATCTTTCAGTTAAGTGAAAAATAATTGTCAGGAGCCACAGAAGAAGAGGGGTGCACATGCATCCCGGAAGTGGTCAGTTTCCATGTGTCCAAATGATATTTTTGGGATGCCTATTATTTTCTAGCTGTTGATATCATGGCAACAAGATTCCCTTTCAATTAAAAGTGCCTCAACACCATAGCTTAGCTAGACAACTTCTGTCCTACATAGATACCAAATTTCATTCTCCTCACATCTCATTTCAAATATATTTTGAAATACATCTCAAATTGATGTAAGTAGCATGACTCCTAAGAATTCTGGTTTATTTCTAAATATTCATTATGAGAACAAAATTAGACAGTAAGTGTAAAAAGAACTTGTAAACTGAGACTGGGCATGGTGGCTCATACCTGTAATCCCAGTTAGTTAGGAGGCAGATGCTCCAGTTTGAGGTCAGCCTGGGCAAAAAGTTCGTGAGCACTCATCTCAACTAATAGCTGTGCACAATGGCATGTGTACCTGTGACCCTAGCTACATGGAAGTTAGGAGGAGGATCATGGTTTGAGGCCAACCCTGGGCAAAAACACAAGACTCTACCTAAAAAATAATAAGAGCAAAAAAGAGCTGAGGGCATGGCTCAGGTGGTAGTGTCTGCCCTGAGTTTAAACCCAGTACTGCCAAAAAAAATCTTATAAACTGTAACATGATACACAGATGTAAAGGGATTATATGACTACAAAAGTAAAGAGCAAAGCCTATGAAATTTCGGTAAAATATTGCTATCAGCAGATTGGGTGAATAAAATTTTGGTCACATCAAAGATTTCAGAAGATCTGGAATTTAATAGTGCATTTCTTTAAAAAAAAAGGGGGGGGGAGGAGGACTCTAAGGATAAATAGACAAAGACCAACCAGAAACATGTCTACCTTCAATCATCCTGAAATTTAACTAAAGAAAATTGTATACTTAAATGTATTTACTTAACATCACAAGACAGGTGCAGTGGTACATAACCACCCAGAAAGTGTGCTGGCAGAGGCAGTCTGGTCTCTGGAAGGAGCACTTTTTATTCCTTGGCCATGATCAGGGCAGTATTTCTCAAGCAAGCCTAGTAAGACTATCTGGTACAGCTGTTCAGATTCAGGTCTTGGCCACTCAGATTTAATGCATTAGAATTTACAGGAGGAGAGGGGGAGGAGTTGACTTGGAATCTGTATTTTATACAGGTCTGAGCTATCTCTTTAAAGGTTCAAATACCTTTATTTATTAATATCATCCTGAATGCAGATATAACTTTCTGGAACAGAGCACATCATTATTTACTGACAGAAAACTGCTGCACTGGTTTCTCATCCCAATTCCCCAGGGTGAAACCATGAGAAACAGATGTCATTCCCATTATGGTCTATGCTGAGGTGAAGAACTCTAAAAATATAAATCTGGACAGTTACCGAGGAAAGGCATGGCTGTCCTCCTTGTCCCTCTGAGACAGGGAGAGAAATCTTACCTCCTGGGCAAGGTCCTTCCACTTGGGAAGGACCTTGGGTTCTTGCCCTGTAGAGTGTAAAAATACACCTCCAGGAGGAAGATAAGACTCCATCTTTAAAGCCTTGGGATAGCTTCCAGGAACTTTGCCTTGCTCTGCCTCCTCATGCCCGGGGAGGTAAAATCTCTCAAGCTCTTTATCTATCCAGTTATCATTTAACTTCCAAGACTTGTCTGTTAGTTAGGTCCCACATTCCAGTAAAAACACTCAGAATACTCTGTGCAGAAACATAAAAACATGTTCTCCTATACTGTCATAATTGGACATAATTGAAGAAAAACTGGACCTAATATCATAATCCCCTCTGACTGTAAGTTTCCAAACCAAGGCAATTTTTAAAAGAGCTCCACTCATAATCTCAGTAAAGTATGGTAGTGCTTAAAAAGATGACTACTGTATTAGAGTTTATGACCAGGCCATGATAACTTTATCCTACTCCCAAGTGAACTGTATTGCAACAGTGCTTTTAGAACTACCACCACTGTCTTTAAAAGAAAAAGGCAGGAAGTAAGAATATTGTTTCCTAATTATCATTTTCTTGCTTTATTTGAAAAAGACTTTTGATGGTCCAAAACCTAGCCAGAAAACATTTGAAAAAAACCTGAATGCCAAAAAAATCTAATTAAACTCCTTCATAAAATTGCCTCTGTCAGAAAAATATTCAAGACTAGTGATTCTATGTGGATCAGTATACGAGCACTGAGAACAGCCTAGAAGCAATGTCATTTTTCTACCTTTCAGAGAATGAGGCCATGGATTCCCAGCCTCTGCTGATAGCCAGATACTTTCTTTCTGCAACCTTACACACCAAGATATGGGACAGATGGAAGAAGAGTCAGATAGAAAGCACAGACAGTCCAATTCCAAAGAGATGACCACTGCCTCCATACCTGCAAACCACCGGGTTCTAGAGAATTTGAAGAGTGTTTTCTAGTTCCCCATGAGGCCTGGCTCTGATTTTCCTGGGGCTGTCCCCTACCTCCCTCTTTTCTTTTCTGTGACTTTAAAACTCCGTGACTGATATAGCTGATCCCTATGTGCTTCCTGGTATCCTTGAAGAACTAAAGAGTGCCATGGTTCTATTTGCTTGGGCCTTGAGTAAAGAACATTCACTTTAAAAAGGAATGCTCTATTAAGTTAAAATTACAGATTTATCAGCCTACCAGACATATTTTATAAAATAAACACAATTTCTTTCTGGATAAATTGAGCTCTTAGGTCTACAAAGAAACTGAAAAGATTTGGTAGTATGTATTCTATTTGACCACTGTTATAGTCCATTTCACTTCATGAAGAAGTAAAATGTTGTTTGAAATAACAAAAAGCTTCCTTCCCTCCTTTATCACCTCTACCCCTCCCTTTTTTCCTTCCTCCTTCCTTCCCTTTCTTTTTCTCTTTTTCCCCTCTCACTCTCTCCACCAAATCAAGATAGGTAGAAATGAATTCTTGATGGATCTGAAAATAATTTACAGAGGATCAAAATAGCTATGTGTTCTGGAATTCCTTCACCTTCTCTTGTAGCTGTACATTAATGTTTTGTCATTTTTTTAAGAAAAAAACACGGTTACAAATCACTGCTTCACCCCTGATTGTTTTATTGTTAGGAACTGGGAAAAACAGAGGTTTCAAATTCAGTCTTCACAGTGGTAGCATTTCCTGGCATCTAAATAGTTTATGGTTAATGACTCCATAAAGCAACTAACTCACTTACATACACTTTGACACCAATTTTTCTTGGGGCTGGCACCCCAAAATTAAGTTGCCCAGCTAAATATCCCACCACCAGGGATTTTTGTTGCTGTATTAACTCTGCATAAAGGGTGTATGTGAAGTATTCTGACTCTGATTGGATGTTATCAAAATATCATTTAGAGTTCACACACTGTCAAAACAGAGAGTATTAAGGAATCCAGGATCAAATAGACTGTAAAGAAGTTAAATGGAGAAAGATAGTTGCAACCAGAGGAAGGGTTGCATACTTCCGCTTCCATTAGATGAAGTAATTCTGCAGGGCCCTAATCCACCGAGGAGAATGAGGTTGTAAAGCCAGCCCCACCTAAAGGGAACCTGGACACCCTTGTGGGTAACAGTTGGGAGAAATGTGGCCCAGGACCCAGAGGACTGGTCTAAATCTCTGATGAATACCCAACAGTCCGTGAGAGACAGTCACTGTAGAGGGCTCAACCTCAACTCTCTGGAAATGATGAAACTACCCACAACCACCACTGGAGGGCTTAAATGCAACAGCAAAAGGAGTGTGTAAGCTATACTCTCAAAACATAAATGCTAACTTTAGGACCAATAAAT